TAATACTAATATAAATGGATTTATAAACCAAGATCACAATGGCAATCTATGGATATTAGTTCTAACAGTATCAGAGTGCCTAACATATATAACTGTATCATTTATTGTTATTATAGTCATAACTGTCATAACATAATAGTTATCTCCATTACCCTCTGGTAATTTAACATAGCTATAGAAAATCACCATTTTTCATGGGACAAATTTCTATAAATGGTGATTTTCATTAGCTATATGTTAGTTTACCAGAGGGTATATCACGTTAAATCCCATTAATCACCATTTTTCAGGTTAATCACAGACCAAATAATTTCACGATTCCGAACTGTGGCACCTTCGCGATCGCTCCCATGAGATCCCCGAATTTCTGTTGGTGAAATGGGCAGTCTAGTAATATCACCCTGGTATAGTAGGGCTTGTTCCATACATATATAGCTATGGAAAATGGTCCATAGAAATAGATGATACACATGATGATTTACCTCTTAATAGCACGGTGATTTTCCATGGCTACGTTAAATAACCAGAGGGTACATATATATATATACATATATATATACGATATGTATGTATATATATATACAACTATAGTGTATGACTCAGCATTGCAGAGTTGTAACTATTGTTGCCAGCTAGTGAGATCCAGTTAGTCCGTGAAGCACCTGCAAATAGTCCGCTATCTTTATAAATCCCATGAAATCCCACTGAAAACTCATTGAAAACCCATAAAATCACCATGTTTAGATGGGATGTATCCCATGAAACCACCATTTTTGTTGTTAAATTCCCATGAAGTCACCATGAAGTGCGGTTCTTTGGGATGAAATCCCATGGTTTTCTCCGAAATCACCTGTGGTCCCAGGCCGACTCGCGGATCTCTTTCCTCTCCTTCTGGGATCGTTTCTTGGCACGTGCTGTGAGGAAAAAACCTGGAAAATCAGCTGGGAATGGTGATTTTATGGTGGCTAAAAACCCTGGACATGATGAATTTATGAATTTAGTTGGTGGTTTCACAAACTAAAATCGTGACTTTATGGTGGTACCAAAACAAATTGTGATTAAAACAATAGGACTGCACTAACACAAATTGAGACTTACTGGGTATGACTATGGTCGGAAAGCCGATAGGTTGGGGTATGGGGCCGCTATGTGGAACTGCACCCCCAAGTAGTAACCATCCCCAATGTGGGTATTAGGTATACTCCTACAATGTGGTGCCCCCAGTCGATAGCTAAGTTGGTGAAAATACCCTCTGGTTATGACTAACAGTTCGCCATGGTTTTTCGATGGCCCATTTATATATAGATGGTTTACCTATTAATAGCATGGTGATGTTCCATGGCAAAGTGTTAGTCATAACCAGATGGTAACTTTATTAAGGACTTATGGTAGATATATCGAACTAATGGGATTATTCCAGTCAACTTAAAACTGGGGCACCACCGAACCTAGGTATACTCCTATGACTGGGATGATTTAAACGCTGGTCTATGTTAAAGAATGGTTACTGGGATGATTTTTTCAAAAGGAGCCCTAATGGATGGTGATTCGCAAGGACAAAATCGCACTGAGTTTACCACATTCATCCTGACGGCATATTTTGGACGAAAATGGGAGATTGGAACCTCATAACCATCATCTATTAGCAATTCTTCTCACATCTGGCATTGATGTTACCCTGAGTTACCATGGGTGGCCGACCCTTGGGTGAAATTGCCATGACACCACCACGACAAAAAATCCAGAAGAGTCTGTTCAAATCACTACCCTCTGGTAATTTAAGAGTTTGCTATTTTTCAATGGACCATAGAAATAGTTGATTTACCCATTAAAGATGGTGATTTTCGATCGTTTTTTTGTATGTTTACCAGGCCGGGTATCATGAGGTGCCTACAACTCCTCCAACGCGGCGCAATGCACCGTCCCGGACTGCGCCATTATTGTGGACCCGCGCTGCGTGGAATGCGAAGTGGTGCCGCAGCGGAGGCGCCAGATGATTCCCTATGGATCCAGCCGTACCTTCTTAGGAAGTGGGACTGGGGTATGATTTGGGTGATTTGTATCTTCTCAGGAAGTGGCCATGGATCCATAGGGATTAATATTCAAGTAACCAAAATGGTGACTTGATGGGATGATTGAATGGTTTTAACACGGGATTTAAGTAGCCAAAATGGTGATTCAATGGGATCTGATGGGGATGAATTCAACTCAACAACCAAAACATAGGGCCGAAAAATTGGAGTCATGGGGGATCTCCAGGACTTGGATGCAAGGGGGGTACCCCCTTTTTGGAAAGCTCCAGATGTGTTGCAATCTGGGAGACCAATGGAGAATTGGGTAACTGGTTGGTGGTTTGGAACATGACTTTTATGACTGTCCCATCATATTGGGAATTTCATCATCCCAACTGACGTGCATATTTCTCAGATGGGTAGGTATACCACCAACCAGGTAAAAGAGAATGTGATGTGAAAACAATTGGTTGAAATATGTGAACACATGGGATTAGGCTAGAAAGATGAACAATTGGGTACAACAGCGAACATATGTTTTATATGTGAACAAGAAAACATGGACTGTCCCGACATGGACTGGACTGTCCTGGCAAACACGGCAAGCTTGAACTCATACAGATCAGGATGTGATTGCCTCGACTTTACCCTCTGGTAAACTAACAGTTTGCTATTGAACATGGCCATAGAAATAGTTGATGTAGCAATCACAAATGGTGATTTTCCAGTTCGCAAATTGTTAGTTTTCCAGAGGGTATCAATATCCACAGGCCATAGCTCCTAGTATTGTGAAGCAATCGACGGTCCACAGAACATGTTTTTTTTAAATCCTCAAAGCGCTGATTCATACCATTTTATCAACATGTATATCATATATATCATATATTCATATCTCACTGATATCCGAATTAAAGTTTCACTAAATCACCAAAAAGATGTGATATCCATTTCATTAATTATCATTTCTTCCATTCACATAAGCAGCGTTTGAGACCCTTGTCGGTTGATTTTTAAATTGGGGTCATACTATCCAATTGGATATTATCACAACCCATTATAGAAAATCCTATATATTAAACCATTTGAACAGTGGGTTTTGAATCAACATTCATCACCATTCCATAATTCATAGCATTGAGTTCTACCATTCATCAACATTCCATTGCTGTCATGGTCTGGTCATGGTCATGTCTTTTCTTCAACCCTTTTACAGATGGTCTCGGTCAACGTAGATGTCGTTGAGATATCCGTTTTCTAAGCCCCGGTAAGCCATAGTTAAGCTACTTCAAAAGCAAGATATATCCATTATGCAGCCAGATTTTGTGTTCTTTTAACAACTACTGTTATACATCGTATAGTTACCATATGGAGCTATTTACCATCTACATCCATATACATTTTTTGGGGTTCTGTTCACCAACTTCGCTATGCCGCTAGGGGCCCCTTTTTTTCCGCAGGTGTTTAAAATGCGAACCTGGTTATTTCGTGGACACGGCTGTGGACCGCCGGGGCCCTATGGTAAATGAACCGAAGTTGGATGGAATGTATGGAATGTGCAATGAATCATGGGGAAGACATGCTGATTTTACGGTGATTTCATGGGGGTTTCAGAGACACGGTGTGAATGGGCAAACGATGTGGATTTCACGACGTGCACATTATCGCTGATTGATGATAGCTAAATTGGTGCAAATATTTCCAATTTCACTATGGTTTATGATACGCAAATAACAATAGTTTTCATGGTGTTTACAAACCAACAAACATCACTGGGGGCCCCCACATTGTATTACATGTCAAAGCCCAGTCAGGCTTCCACTTGTGTCTGAATTTGGAACAGTATCTGGTTGGTGGTTTGGAACATGCTTTATGTTTCCATATATTGGGAATAATAATCCCAACTGACTAATATTTTTCAGAGGGGTTGAAACCACCAATCAGGTATAATATATCCAACAAGATACTTTGTAAGTGGTGAATCTCCCATCTATTTGAATAAGTTGCAAGAACTTCACAACGCAACGTCAGTGGAATGATGGGTTGATGAATTATGTTAAATTTGTTCAGCGATGATGACACGCCATTTGAGCAGAGGCCACATCCCTGTTGATTGATGATTTAAAACTAAGGACCGAATCTATGGGCTTACCATCTGGTTATTTAACAGTTTGCCATGGAAAATCAACTTTTTTTTTTATTAGGTAAACCATCTATTTCTATGGGCCATGGCTTCCATGGCTCTGTTAAATAACCAGAGGGTAAATATCAAACATATTACCTTTGGTAATTAAACATATTATCATATTAGCCTGGCTATTGAAAATCACAATGTTGAATCATGTTTAAGAGGTAATTTGTCTATAAATTGCCATGTTCCATAGCTGTCTTAAATTACTAGAGGGTATTGATGAATTATGGTCGATGGGTGATTGGGATTGTAGTATCCATTATATATCATATATCGATATATGATAACCATCCATGAACTTGGAATCCCGTTCTGAACCAAGCAGCAATTTGTAGCAATTTCGTTGGTGGTTTCAGACAAGGGTCAAAAATGCAATGCACCCACGCTTAAAAGTGCTAAACTACACCATCAATTTTGATTTCTTTGGGAGGGGCCAAAACAACATGTCACCTACCCATATATATATATATGCGAAGCCCAATGCTCTAAGCGGCCCTGCTTTTCCTTCTAAGGCATGGATAGGGGTGCTTGATCCGAGATATCCCCAAAAGTGGGAGATGAACGTGTTGATGATTGAAAATCTGCACGGGTCCCAATTCTTTAATTGGAACTTTCAAGTGCTCCTACGCCAGGTTCATGTTTGTGTTTCAAGGGGGTCCAATCCCATTTGACGTCTTCGTTTTCCCGAAATAATATCATCATCATAAACAATCCTCCAGTGTCCGTTTCTGTTGTTGAAAATCAAAATTTGTTGGGGTTCATCAAATTTGGTAAGAGAATTAGCTAATTGGCTTTCCCCATTAACCCACCGTAAACTGACCTTGCAAATAGAAAGTGACTCTTTCAGGCATAGGGTCTCGATGTCGCTTCTTTTCTCGGCACCTGAGAGCGTCATGATGGTGGTGTTCAAACGGTCATAGAGATTCTTGCTGTCGGAAATCAGCACTCCTTCAGTTTGAAGTACTGTTGAGTCAGGATCCCAAACATTGGCATGAAAACCTCGAAATTCACTCAGTTGAAATCTCAAAGCATACATTTGATCTTCGCCATCCACAGCTGCACGTGTTTCCGCTGAAGCACTTGATCTGCACACTCTGGAAATCTTTGAAGCTGACCAAAAAATAGGGTTCACTGCTTCCAGGCTACCTTGTAAAATCCTCTTTGATGTGCAGCCTATGAAAATTCCTTTGGTACTGGACAGATCTGGCCGGTTTGCATGTCCAGCGTCTACCCAGGTGGCCATCACTAAATCCTCCGGATCCAGGGCGTGTATGATCATTGTTTGATGTTGTCGGCCTTTGCTCTTCTTCAGCAGTTTGTTGGTCTCTATCAGATCTGACACTGTTGCTTTTGTGCACTTTGACAAAAGTAATCCCACTGGAGCGCTCAGTTCAATTGCAATCTGGCCTGCATGCCAGGCAAGACAGCCCAAAACGCTTCTCATTTGTTTCAGTTCATCCTTTGTAATAGGAGAGTCAATTTCTTTGAATCGATTCTTGCTAATGTAGATCTCTGAGACCTGTTCCAAAAATTCAGGTTGCTGTAGTGCAAAAGAAAAATCATTTCGTTGTTCTATTGTCACTCCACACTGAGTGAATTTTCCACGTTCCCATTTTCCAAATTTGAATCTGTCCTTGATCTTTTCCTTGATGAGTTGCCAGCGTTGGTCGTGTTCTCGGCCGCCAAAAAGAAAATCGTCTACATGTGATGTTACCCAACCAATATTTTTATTTTGTTCATCAAAAAGGCCCCAGCAGCATGGGTCTGACTGTTGTCGAACAAAACCAAGGCTTTCCAGGAACTCATGGACAGTCAAATAAAATTCCAGTGGTGCTTGCACTAGTCCATACGCAGCTTTGGCTAGTTTGGTGATGGAGTTCTCCGGGAGCCCCATTGCATCAGTGATTTCTTTCAGAGGGGCTACATATATTTCATCTTGGCATTCTCGTCCTTGTAGAAAGGCCCCACTAATGTCTCCCTTCTCCACCACGTACTTGTACGCCGCGCATAGTGTCAAGAACAGTTGTTTTGTGCTTTTTGTCATAGTAGGGCTACTTGTCGGTCTGTGTTCATATAGGGGGTCCATGTAGCCTAAGATGACAGCTCGGGCTTTTGGTTTTCTTTCGCCAGTATCTTTGTCACATTTCCATGTAAGAATCCAACGCATTTTGATAACTTGTGAGGGGTCAGGTTTCACATTGTCTGGTAACTTCTTGAACACCTCGGCCATGATGTAGTTTTTCACCTCCTTGGACTTTGCCTGTTGAAACATCTCTAGTTCTTGTTGTGAAAGTCTACGCTCTGAAACCTCAATGTGGTTTTTCCGCGTCTGATTTACTACATAGGCTCCTAGATCGCGTAACCAAAAATCTTTTTCGCGCTTCTTACCATAAGGTAAATCAACTGCCACTTGAATGCAACCGTATGGGTCTTGAAGGTGTTCTGAAGGTGTAGTTGAAGCCAGTCCAACAAGAGCTTGTTCATCTACTTCTGTTGCAACCATTTGTTTTGCGCACTTTGGATCCTCATCTCTCTCCAGATCTGGTGCTTTTCTCCGATAGCGCGCTCGTGGAGCACTGCTTGGACCTGGTTCTACTTCCATGTTTGGATCATCCTCTTCATTCTCTGGTTCTGGAATGCCTTCTTGAGTCAAGTCAGTATATGTTCTTGATTTTGATTGCTCTAAAATTCCAGAAATAGTCCATGGAATGGGATGGTCTTCTTGCAATTCCGCCCATGCTTCTTCTCGTTCGCTAGCATGACGTAGTTGTTGTGGTGCTGCTTTGAAAAGCTTTGAGCCACGAAATAGCCACACGCTGGAGCCTGGCCGTCTTTGTCCTGTGTCGTCCAGTCTTGTTTCTGTGGCCAGAACTCTTGCAGGTCCGAGAAATGCTCCCGTTTTGAATGGTTGTCCTTTGGTTTCAGCGCCATGTGCGCCAATCTGTTTTCTCCAGTAAAAAACCAAGTCTCCTGGCTTGAAGACTGAGAGTTTTCTTGAGCCCGAACGCTGTGCCCTCAAAAGTTTCTGGTTGTACTGTTCTTTCAAAAAGGCCTCCTCGGCAATTTGCATGGATTTTTGGTCATTTCCAAATTCAGCCGAAATCCCTTTTTCCGTGATAATGGGAAAATCCTTAGTACCCTCTTTATGAATGTGTTCATAATCATCAGGGTTACGCCCCATGGCATGTTGAAGTGGAGAGAATCCCATGTATTGATCACGAATGTTTTGGGCCCAAATGGATTTCAAGAAAATTTCCCGACATGACATTTCAGGGAATTCCAACGCCAGTTTACCCATCATATTTTTGGTGGTCTGAATGGCCCTTTCAACAGCAGAAATTTGCCAGTGCGACTCCCCCGGAATGTGCTCAATCAAAACCTTTTGTTCAGCAAAATGCTGGTTAACCGCTTCACTTCTGAAACCCCCGGCAGGATCCATTCTGATAACAGCAGGTTTCCCAAAAATTGGTTTCCATCTCTCTTCAACAAAAGTGATCATATCATCCCCAGAAAGGCTAATCTTTTTCCCAGGTTTAAGGATCATCCCCATTCGAAATCTACTCCCCTCATCAATCCCCAACATGAAATGAAATGGTTCCTTGGTTTCAGGGTGATTCCACGTGCAGCCGTCGATCTGAACCCTTGACCATTTGGGGGGTATGTCTTCCAAATTGGACATGTTTCGGGGGCTAGGACCCTTTTGTTCTTCACAACTGGGACAACGGAACTGTTTGGCCAGCTCAATGGTGTCTTGATCAGCGTTTCTTTTCCTTAAAGCCTTGACTAAGTACTCATTACTACAATGACCCGTGGCCGCATGAATACGTCGGAGTGATTGCATGATGGTACTTCTTCTTTCGGGGGACATGGCAAACACATGGTGGTCATGTTCATGATTCGCATGTTGACAAGGTTCCGCATGGATATGATTGACACTGTTGAGTTCAACATCAAATGAAATCCCTCCTTGCAATTCCCGAACCACATTATGACACAAGTCCACCCGTTGTAAAGACTCCATGACCCTTTTGGCAAATTGTGGGGTGTAAAACGCCGACAATTGACAGTTCTTAGACCCTTCACAGTTCCCATGTTGGTGGTTCCCTTGACACTTGAGGGTCATGTTTTGGATAAGCCCCTTACACGTTCCCATGAGTCTCCAACCCTTTCCCATGAGTTCCTGAGATGAATTTCGGAGGCCGACTTGGCATCCTTTGCAAACTCCAGCGGAACACTGCAGGTCTTGTTGCAGAGACGTGAACATTGGAAGCTTCCATCCCTCACATCTTTCAGAAAGCTCAATGACAAACGGAACACCAATAGAATGAGCATGACGACCAATCTCACAAACAGACTCATACTGTTTCTTGGCTTTCTGTCGTTTCTCAGTGAGGGCCATACGTTGGCGATCATCTCTCATGTTGAGATGTTGCATGGGGGAAAAAGGTCCACATTTCGGACTCATCCACACCAACTCAGGACGCCGATCGCTGATAACAGATTTGACATACTCAACACCGGCTTTGGTTTCGATGTCTCCCCCATTCCACTTTGAAATTCGCTGGGAACTACCTGAGCCAAACATTTGTTCACAGGTCCTAGAGAGAACGCTGTCTTCGCTGCAGCAAACCTCAAGAAGCCTCAACCTGTTGCCATAGGCGACACTCGCCCAATCCTTTTCAAAACCAACAGCAAAACCGTACTGAATTTCTTTCTTGTGACGATTGCTCAGAGGTTGCTCATTGGACCTAATTGGTGCATGGGACAGCTTCAAATCAGGAGCCTCGCTCAGGCCTTCTCGATCTCGTCCTTCTTCACCGCTTTCACTCCCTGTTTTCGAAGGAGTGCTTGCTGCCGTTGGAGCTCGTGAATCTGGCTCTCGATCTCGGTCAGTTGGTGATTGACGTCCGGTTCGGACTCCATGGAGACTGATGTCACCTCCGTGAATGAGTCCTCGGTGACGATCGATGATGTTGACTCGCCGTAGGGCTTCTTGGAGATGTCCATGCGAAGCTCGGGTTGGAACTTGATCTTTGGGTTGTTGCCAGAGATCTGACTCTTGTTCTTCATATCCACCCACTTCATGAAGCGCCTCATCTGCCAGCTGACCTCCTCTTCGGACATCGTGGTGCGACACCACTGGATGTACTTGGGGTGATAATCCTTCACCTCCTGATAGGTCATGTTGGAGTACTGCCCGAACCCCATCACATCGTGGTCTTGAGGCACGGTGTTCTCCATGATCCTCTGGTTGCCCAGGGCAAGGAGGCGAGAGATCGTCTCGTTGCCTGTGATCGTCATAGACAGGCGGTTCTGGAGGAAGTCTTGCAGTGTGCTCTTCTTCCTTGATGCTTTGCTCATCTCGGTAAGGAGGTTGTCTGCACCATTCTTGTTCTTCTCCTGTTCCAACTCTTTGAGCTCGGCATAGCGGGCAAGGAGTTGCTTGTGTTTCCACTCCGCTGGTGGCGTCTCGCCCCACTCCTTGATCTTGTTCACCAGCTGCTCCTTGGTGAGGTTCGGCATGGCAGGGAAACTCGGTGGTGATGAATCCTTGAGTTGCCTTGTCTTGCTGCGATGCCGTGCCTTGTTCTGACGCAGTGACTGGTGGCTCAAAATCAGGCTTAGAAATAGAAAAAGAAACCCTTTGTTTAGTTTTGTTTCCTGCAGGATTGTTTTTCTTTGGGGTTTTCAGGATTCCTTGAAGTCCGCAAATGGGTCTTTTTTTCTTGATTTTCGTTTCCCAAAAGGACATGAACCTGGCTGCTACCGTTGCTCATCTCTACTTCCCTCCAAGGCTGCTGAGCTTTTCCATTGATCCTTGGAGGGTCATCTCCCTATTCGACATTTTCGCATAAGCTCTTGAAGGCGTGTTGCCTGCAAGTGCTTGAACTTTACACATCCTCAGTGAGGGGAAAAACTTGGTGGCCGCTAGATGTTCTCTCCAGCTTGATGACACGGCATGGGTCGACAGCTTTCAGAATCATTTTGTCCTCGTTGAAGTCGATCACTGCTCCAAGCTTGCGCAGTGATGCAATGCTCAAAAGCACTGGTTGATTGGGAACTTCAAGAACGTGGACACGCATGGTACTGTCGGCACCATGTAAAGGGACATTCAGCTGGGCAGTTGACACGCAGGTGGTCTTGCCATTGTTGCCAAATCGGAAGCTCGGCCGCTCCTGATTGTCAATGGGTATGTCCTGTCGTTTGCCCTTGTCCCAGTTGATAGATCTGATCCTGTCGAGCGCGTCAACGCTCCCCACTGTCGATGTAGCTCCTCCATCAATGATGGCCTTGCCATTCTGCAGGAGATTGTCCATCATCATTGCAGCTTCATTGATCCCCAGGCCCTTTTTGCCTGGGTGAGTAGCCTCTGGCTCATTGCCGCCGGTGGCCGTGAAGGTGAAGTGGACGGCTTGGCTTCCACTGGCTGGTGACCCTTGCTCCTTCTTGGGGCATTGGCCAGTGGGATGTTTCCCACCACATCGGAAACATTGCTTCTCCGAAGTGGATTGTCGGTCACTTTTCCACTTGGTGACACTTTCACGGCGCACTGGGTAGAAGTTTCGACTTTTCCTCATCATGGATTGTTTCTCCCTTGCCTCACGGAGCGTTCTCTTGGCTCCCTGGATGGCTGCTAGAGCTTCCTCAGCTTCGTGGGAGAGGAGATTGTATTCCTCGGTCTCTTCCTCAGTCATCCAGATGGGAGCTTCGACCAGCTCCTCGTCGTGAAGCATGACTTCTTCCTCGTCCATCATGAGTGCTGAACCTCGACTTTGATCTCGACGCCTGAGATCCTCATCAGTCCAGTTCAGGCGCAATGCCTGTTTGACCCGGTCTGTGCTGAAGTCATTCCTCAGGCTTGCCACTATGGTGGCTCTCTCTGATCCATCCAGACCTGAACGCTGCAGCAGCATCCATGCGACCACAAAGTCTGGAAGGAAGCGCTCAGCTTCCTCCGATGCCTGTACTGAGACCTCGGCATGGTTCAGGTTCTCCTTGGTAATGGGAGGCCACCATCCATGGTCTTCCCATCGATCATAGTCTCTCCAGCCAGATCGATAGCCCCACCATGAACTTTGGGTCCACCAGTTCTGACTGTCATGTTCGGCTGTCTCCTCATCTTCATTGCTGTCGCGAAGCCGGCCATTCTCATCGAAGGGCCCTGGCTCCTGAGGAGCCTTGTGGCTGCGCTCAGATTGTTGATCTTGATGGCTGTGTCCTCCACGCTCAGAACGAGTGGCTGTTCTGGTGCTTCCAGAGTATCCCTTGCCATACTCCTGGATCGCCTCAGCCAGTGTCCTTCGTGCTTCATACAAAGCTTCATCATGTCTCACAATCCATGCACTCATCGTCTCACCTTTCCTACGCTTGACCTGGTAGAAGAAGCGGCTAATGGTCTTACCTGCCTCAGCCAGTGTTGGTGGCTGTACCTGGCCTTTCAGGTAGTCCAGCAGCTCTTGAGCACCCCTGTCATGAGAAATCCACCCTGGCGGCTTGTGCTGGACTGCCGCCTTTGCGGCGCCTTCCAACACCGCCTGCAGTCTCGGTCCTGCCAGCGGTCTCTTCTTCCACTCCAAGGTCTCCACGTAGTTGAGTGCCGCCCTTCTGTAGGCGACATATTGCTCTGCTGACCCATCAAATATGGGTATGCCTTCTTTGTATCTCAACTCGGTCATACTTTTGGTATTTGCTACCCTCTTGACAGATCAGTTACAAGAAGAAATTGGAAAAATTCCTTCTTTGTCCCTGGATCTTCTTGCCGGTTCCCCCACTCCTGGGGTACCCGGCTCCGCTACCGTGCGAAGCCCAATGCTCTAAGCGGCCCTGCTTTTCCTTCTAAGGCATGGATAGGGGTGCTTGATCCGAGATATCCCCAAAAGTGGGAGATGAACGTGTTGATGATTGAAAATCTGCATATATATACATGGGGATATTCCACACTTCTCAAACATGCTTAGCTGTAGATAGAAGGATACCCTGCCCGAAATAGACTATTTTGCAAAGTTGACATTCTGATATCTCGTTATGCCTGGTCCACACAACTCTTGGGTGGAAAGGAACTAGTTTCTGTAGCCCCTTTCATAGGAGCTGAGGCTAACATAATTTGATATAACTTGTATAATATGGGCTCATGACTTGGGAGTACAGTTGAGGTTTGAAATTGGTATAACTGGTATAACCATGGTTATAGACCTCCATAAGTTGGGATATGAGTTTGGATATAATTCCAACAACTATGGTGAAATATAACAAAAAAAATGTGGAACTGCAGCCCCAATTGCAGGGGCTCATTATGCCGGTCACCACAACGGCCTTCCCACCAGGGTTTGATTTGTATAGGAACCCCCAAAAAGATAGAACACCAATTTATATATCACTAGGATTTCACTACTAGTATGTATATAAATTGCTAGGACTTCACTATTCTATCCTTTATTTAAGGGGCTTTACAAATTGCTAGGACCTAAATCTGTTCTATAAAGGTGTCTTGGGTTACCAAAAAGGGTAGAAAAAGAAAGATGATCGGCTGAGGGGATGACAAACCATTCTTGGTCGGCGGGATTTTGGAATAGTATTGATACAATGTGGGCCCCCAAAATAGCTAAGTTGGTTTATAACTCAAATAACTATTTCAGTTGGTGAACATAACTCCAATTTCACTATGGTTTATGGTACTTATTACTATAGTTTTCATGGGGTTTATAAACCAACGTTCACATCACGTTTGGGGGCCCCACATTGATAGTTGTTGTCTTTTGCTGAATGGTTTCACCCCTGCTAAGTGGTGGGCTATGTATGTATAATATATATATAATATTCATATTATATAATGTTACTAATATATATATATATATACATATTCATGTATGTACAATATTGGAAATAAAGACCATTATGAGTATGTCTTTAAGAGGTCAGCCGTTGGAGCACATTTTCGAGGATGAAAGCACGGTTCACCTCCATGGGCTGGAATTTAGATGGTGACCAGGTTATAAACGTTATAAGCCTCCATGCAATTTATTTCTGGTGAGATGCTTTTTTTTAATACCAGACCATCGAAAAAAAAAACGCCAGCTATCCATTCACCGTACTTGGACCCAATGACTTCGCCTTTCGCGCGCGGAATCGATGCTCTGACAGCTGGACCATTCGGTCAACATATTTGCAGCAAGTCGGAAACAAAAGCCACTGCGGTTTCAGAATGTTTCAGATCATCAGATGAAAATACAGAAAGTGTTCTTTGCCAAAAACAAAATGATGTCAAACCCTCCAAAGTTCTGCACATCTCTCTTTACACATTGGCCGAAGGATAGCTGAGGATAAAAAGCCAAGAAGATTCAACAGCTGCAAGCGTCACGAATCAATTGGAGGCACTGTAGGGCCATGCCCCAAAGAAATGTGCAAAATGAGTCTGAGTGAATACCATGCGACATGGGTCATTGGCCCATTTTCTTTGTTCAAATGGGCATGTTATGTAAACCATCTTGTGATCCATAGGTTGTAGCAACCCCAAAAAGATGGAAACTGAAAGATGGGCCCAACTGGATTAGCAAAAAAAACTGCTTCGTAACCGGGGATTTTTTACACAAATCCCAATGATATAATCCATTTACTAACTAGTTAACTAACTCCATGGCCATAAATTACTGGTACATCACATTTCAAACTTTCCTATCATTGGAGGCCTATCCCAGCTGAAACGACTTGAAGGTCACCCTGGCCAAACGACTCTGAGACGCTTCGTTCATCGGATCATCGGCTGCCATGCGGACAGTGCCTGGCTATGGCGCGGGACATGACCAAGGTGCGCTGGCCACAACTGGAGATGGGAACGTTTCAGAAAACTTTGGCCATAATAAAAAATCCGCAAGAAATATTGTAATGTGGTTTAACCAATAATAAACCACCCTGTTTTTGATGGTTTATACCAACCATTTATGGTGATTTGGGGGATGCGTATTATTGTTTTAACCACATTAATGCCAACCCGCGTTTAATAAACCATGATTCATTAAGGAGGGTATTCCCGCAGTCATAATCTGACACGTAAATGGTACCCTCCCAATTAAACCGCCTAGGGATTTATTAATCCAGGTTGACATTATTATATTGTATTATAACATACTAAAACTATAGCGTCCAATCTAAGGGAGTTTTCTCATTTACAAGATCTTGCGGAGCTTATTTTAATGTGCTTATTTATACATATTGTATATATATATATACTCACTTTCGTTGGGCTCCTGGAAGAAATATGCAGCTCACATTTAACTACTTTTAGAGCAACTTCGCAAACTATGGGGGAGAACTTGGTAATCATATGTCAACATATTACAACCCTATAATACTTCTACTATACCCGATAGATTCCATACTTTCTAGATTTCTTCAGCATGTCTATTGCTCGGATACCACCACCAATGATCCCTAATCACTTTGAATTCCATTGAATCCCATTAAATCGTCGTTAAATTCGAATTGTCATATCCGAATCCCAATTAGTTCCAAGTATGGTTGCTAAACTTATCATTCAGCATTCAATCACCATTCAATCATCATTTTTCATCATCGTTTCATCATTAAATCCCCATTAAATCATTAAATCACCATGAAATCCAATGACTATCCCATGAAATCACCATGAAACCATCATTTTTCCCAATGAACTCCACCATTTTTCCGTCGTTTTTTGCCGCGTTTCGTCGTTTTTTGGTCGGAGGCGGAAGAGAAGCTCCAAGGCCGTCCCTGCAGTGTGGGCGACTTTAGCCGCCCCGGGCAGTTCCAGGCGGCTGTTCTGTGGGGATTTCCAGGGAGATTTCCAGATTTCCATTGGTATTTTCTGAGGATTTCTATAGGGCATCGAACTTGGGATTTCCATGGTGATTTAACGTTATTTTCTAGTGATTCACAAATCATTTCAAGGGAGTTTCTGGGAATTTCTACTTAGATGGACCATGGGATTAACGATTCCTGGTTAGTAAATGGATTATAATTGGTATATAGAGGGTGACCAATCCCCATTTACTAACTAGTAATGAGATTTTCTGGGGATTTCTAGGGCATCGAAATTGGGATTTAATGGGATTACTCAGTCATGGTCATCCAGGACTTGGATGCAAGGGGGGTACCTCCATGGGAAAGCTCCAGATGTGAACATATGGGAGTAGACCAATGAAGAATTGGGTAACTGGTTGGTGGTTTGGAACATGACTTTCATTTTTCCCATCATATTGGGAATGTCATCATCCCAACTGACTGTAATTTTTCAGAGGAGTGGCTCAACCACCAACCAGTAATGTGATTTTCTGGGGGTTCATAGATCATTTCAAGGGATTTTCTGCAGGATTTGAGAAAAAATGCAGGAGATTGATCTATGGCGATTTTTCAGGATGACTTGGATGGGATTTCATAGGGATTTTATGGGATTTGGTGACTTTTTCATGGGATGATTTTATGGGATGTGCTTAACATAGTCCAATAGTAACAGCACATGGATTGGCATGACAGGCTACCAGGGACTGACCATCTTTTGATGGGACTGGGAATCTATCAGAAATCTCGCCCCTCGACTTGTTTTTTCTACAGAAAGGCCCTGGCGTTTTGGGTTAAGGCCGCAAGGCCTTTTTTGGTCATGGAAAGGACTGCATTGCCACAAGGATGGTTGGTTAGTTGGTTGGTTACTTATGTCACCAACCAAACAACCAACTACCCTCTGGCAAACATACGTACAGAAAACTATGAAAAATCACATTTTTTTTAATGGGAAAATCAAGTATTTCCAGGGCCATTTTCAATAGCTATGTAAAAAATTACCAGAGGGTAACCAACCTCACAAGTTGGTTCAAGTGACGCTTGGCCCAAAAAAAACAACAGAAGTGCCGCCCAAAAAGTATATCGAAGCCGCTTGGGGCTGAAAACCCCAGGAACCGTAAATGGCGAACAGTTCACCATATAATAGACCCTCTGGTAATTTAACAGTTTGATATTGAAAATGGCCATGGAAATAGTTGATTTACCCATTAAACATGGTGATTTTCCAGTTCGTTTTTTGTATGTTTGCCAGGCCGGGTATCCGCTTTGTTGGCGAAACGAAGATCAAAAACCGCTTCTGTTGGTCCATCTCACTTGCTGTTAGGCTTGCTCCACCGGGAGGTAAAATTGGCTAAATCATGTTAAATTATAAAGGTATATTCTAGGTCAATCTTAGATGGGTAGAAACTTGTCCTGTAGTCTTTTGGTATCTGGCTGGGAATATCTAAGTTTACCAGCAAAGAATTTGTCATTTTTTGCAGGGTATCTGGCTGATTGGCAATGTATTACCACCAATTTATATCAATTTACTCCCAAACATGCAAAATACCATGCAAAGCTATGAGTTTGAGCAAGCTCTTTTTCTAAGTGGCAGCCATACGGGATCAGCGTCACATGCCGAAAGTTGGGAACTTTGAGGGAAAACATCGAACTGTTGTGGTACACAGCAGGGTACTAGGCTATAAAGCCAACAGTTAACTTACTTGCTTCAACCAACTTTGCTAACTAATTCAGCTTCATTAAATCCCATAAGATCCCTGGATAAATCCGATAAAACTCCATGAGCTAATTTGAATCTTCGTGGCTGAACGGCCATAGTCCGTCGGAATCATTTTGCATTTTGCAAGGGCGCCTGGGATCATTGTTCTATGGATTTCTACGGCTGCGTGCCGGAAAATCAAACATGGCCATGTAAGATTTTGGCAAACCCTACAATGTGGGTGCCCCCAGATATAAGTTGGTTTATAAAGCCTATTTACTATAGTAATAAGTACCATAAACCATAGTTCTTGGAGTTATGTTCGCCAACTTAGTTATCTTGGGGCCCCACATTGTAGTTTGGGTAGTGAATGCATCATGTTTTTGCCAACAAAAATCACCAACCACACCTCATCTAAGGTTTTTGACCATGGCACGTGTAAGATCTATTGACATCTATTGACCTTATTGTATTCATGTGCAGGTAGCATCCACATTGTTTGTGATCCAGTGCTCACAAAATCAATCCCAACTAAACTAGTTGCACCAGACACTTTGTACAGTTCACTTGCTGGGCCCTGCTCCCAGCTATGCCCAGCTATGTAAGCAGGATATTTCATGATATTTCGGGGTTTAATCAGAAACCACGAAAAATACCTCGGCCTTTATGAAAAGTAGGTCGAATCGCGATCCAGTGATCGTTGAAGACAATGCCCACTGCCAGGTCTTCGCACGGAAAAAAAATCTGACGCGATGAAAACCCAGAATTTGAAGGGAGAAGATGATGATAAACCACTGATAAATGGTGTTTGGAAAAGATTAATGATGGCACACTCATTTGTTCCCCACCCCACCTGGAAGAAGGTGGGAGTCTTCTGATTTTTTAGATATCAGCTTTGTTTTCGCCCTCCCATTATCATGAGCTTGCAGGCTCTCTGGGGCTCGCCGGAACCGAAAACTATGCCAGATTAAATGGCATAATGTCAGGTGAAATGTCAGATAGAAAGCCACATGGACTGAGAGATCAACTGTCAGTTTGCATGCCAGATGAAACCTTCGAATATACGTAGGAAAATATGTCAGATGGAATGCCAGATCAAATGTCGGAATATATGTCAGTTGGTGGGGATCACTCCAAGTATGGTTTCTTTCAGCTGGCGCATTTCGTAGTCTTGATTGCCCAAGATAGGATCATATCTGCTTAGCATCCCACTTCGCAACTGGTTTGCAGGGTTAAAACCCAGTTAAATATGGGATAGCCTCATTTTGGGGACTTACTAGGCTTATTCACCAGTTAGCACAAGTATCTGATGGGCCCGCCGCAAACAAACCGGTGATAAAATTAAATGCCCTACAGGTAGACATCAATGACATTGCTCGGTTTCCGCAGACCCAAATGGACGAGCCAAGAGAGCAAGGTTGATGCACAAAAACTTTGTTAACTGTTGGGTCTATGGGAAGATAAACGATACAATGTGGCGGCCCCAAGATAGCTAACTTTTTTTTTAATTCCGATAACTCTGGTTTATGATACTTATAGCTACAGGTACTGTTTTTTTGTTTTTTTTACAAAGTTATAACTAGGGGGGGGCCAACATTGTAGTTCATGGGCCTTGTAAATGAAGCTATAACTGGGGGGCCTCATTTTTTTACTGTGGATGCATTCTGGAGAACAACCACCTTACCTATCTTGGGGACACCCCGCTGTGATGGTCTCGGCGCTCGGCCTTTGAAACTTGCCCGCTCAAATTCATTCGTGGAGGGTGACCAGCGACTTGCAAAGGCTTAGCAACCGTAGTTTTTTCACCACGTCCTATCTGTTTGCATCAATTCCCACGGAAGTATATTGAAATATGTGATGTACAAGGTGGTGCCCCCCAAGTTATAAGTTGGTTTATAGTCCCATTAACTGTAGATATATCTACCATAAGTATCCATAAGTCCTAGTTATTAGAAGTATAGACCAACTTAGCTATCTTGGGGGCACCACCATGTATATATATATATATATTTGTATATATATATATATATTTGTAAATATATATATATTATATATATAATATAATATATATATATATTATATTATATATTATAAAATATGTTTTTCACATGCATATATATATATATACATTTTTTGCATATATACGTAAATACTTTTTTGCATATAGACATATACATTTTCAGATGCATAACCCTCTTTATAAATAAATAAATAAATAAATATATATATATATATATTTGTATTTATGTATATACATATATATACACATGTACATATACACATAATATATATATACACATATATTTTTTTTTACATATTTATGTTATTTATATATATATATATACATATATCAATATACAGACATCAGAATATATATATATATATATATTTGTACATATATATATTTGTACATTTACATATATATATATACATACACACATATCCGCATGTACACGTACGTACGCACGTACGTACATACATATACACTTACATAAACATATACATTAACATAATCATAAATAGATATATATATATATATGTATATATATACACATACATATACATATACATTTACATTCATATATACATATACATATACATCATCATTTTCACTTACATATACATTTACATTTACACATATACACATACATGTACATATACATACACACATACACATACATACATACATACATACATGCATACATGCATACATGCATACATGCATACATGCATACATGCATACATCCATCCATCCATCCATACATACATACATACATATATGTATGTCTATTTTGTGTAAATTCACGCATGCACGCAAATGTAGATATGGGATAGCCCCATTGGGAACAATACGATCACCAGTTCTTGGCGTCCTCCAAGGGTCCAAGGGTTCATTTGGCTGCGCAGCTTGCGCCAGATCATACGAGATTTGCACAGCAGCCCGACTGGGTCGGTGCACTTGGCGAAGATCAAAGCACCGACCTCTTCTGTGTCAGAAGTTGTTTTGAAGAAACGACGCTGGGGCGATTTTTCGCGACAGGTCACCGATCGGGTTGAAATTGGGAAAACTTTAGGACATGGTGACTTCATGGATTTTAACTAGCAAAATTTGTGGTTAATGAGTTAATGGGACTATATGTATGGTGATTCGTGCAGGATTCTTTGGGTGTTTCAATTTATCTGATAATTTTGAGTGGCAATGGGGAATATTTCAAGTTTTTTTTCCCTTCATGGTGAAAAAATAAACCATCACATGGAAAGGGTACCTGGTGATATCCGGTTCACTAAGTCGGATGACTCACCAAACAAGATTCTGTGGGACAACCGGTGATCGTACATAGTTTTTTCACCCATGACATTTCATATACCCAGCCAAAACGGTTTTTTTGCGCCATGAACCACTGTAATAATTCCATGTTTCTGCGTCGCGTGATTGAAACTGCTATGTGATTTTACCGTATTTTTTGATCGAACCGATGAAAAAGGGCGAGTTTCCATAGCAATGCAAATTTGCCAAAGGGTAGGCATTTTCAAATCTGCTATTGGGACCCAGCGTATCCTTCAATTGTGTTTTCTGAAAGTCCTTCCAGATTGCGATACTTAAACTAAAAAATAGTATTTAGTAGCTCACCCCGGGAACCGCAAGTGGGCGATACCCCGAGTTACAACTGAATAACAGGTCTTATCCTGGTCATCATTGGGGTTACATCCGAATTACTAACTTGGCTGAATCAACAAAGGACTGATAAGACGCATGTCCGTAGTTTTACGCCCATGGAACTGGCATGGAGGTTCAGCATGCAAGGAAGTGTGCGTGCAAGCGAATTTTTGTTTTAGGTTACAATGTCAAAGCGATTTGTTCATTCATTCTTACATCATTGTTATCCTTGACTGTATGATATATACATATATATATACACACATGGTATGTGTATATATTTACCTATATATATATTTATCATATTGGGATATTACATATATTATGATAGATATATATATATATACATTTTTTTTAATCATATTGGGATATTATATATAGTATGCTATATATAAATATATATCATATTGGTATAAGATAAATATCATTGAATCATATTGGGATATTATATATATATATATTTATTATGATATATATATATGTATCATATTGGGATATTATATAGGCTTTTGGTTGATCTGTTTTGTTTTTTTTAAACATATGTTGTTACCGTCGGGTGCATGGCCTGGTTGTTACCTGGCCTGGAAAACCTAGCCATGGCAAGACATGACATGGCGTTAGGATTTTTTTTTGTCATGGGCAAGTGCAGGACAATAATTTATGATCTATATTTATATGTATATATGTATATATGTAAACATGTATATATGTATATATGTATATATGTATATACGTATATTTGTATATATATATGTATATATGTATATATGTATAAATGTATATATGTATATATATATGTATATATGTATAAATGTATAAATGTATATATGTATATATATGTATATATATATGTATATATGTATATATGTATATGTATATATATATATGTATGTATATATGTATATATGTATATATGTAAATCAATGTTTGATTTCCATGGCCACGTCAATTTTCTGGAAAGTAGCCCTCACGTTTTCATAAACAGTGTGAAGTATTCGTTGGCTACGTTTGGATCGCATCATGGCTCTACACTGTGTTGCACCCGTGCACCCCTAACCATATGATGATTTATAGAAACCCATGCAACTATAGATTATATATATATATATGTATATATCTGGGTAAATTATCACGACCTTAGATGGTCTGTACTTAGATGGGCCATGGAGTTAGCTAACTAGTTAGTAATGGGGATTTGTTACCCTCTATATACCAATTATAATCCATTTACTAACCATGAATCGTTAATCCCATGGCCCATCTAAGTATAGATTATATATATGGAGATTTCATAAAATGGTGGATCCCCAAGTAGTCAGAATAGGTTTCAATACGAAGTCATGGTTTGATTTGGATGAGGCAAGGGAGTACCCCCATGATTTGTCGGAAACCTCCATGTATAACTGGTTGGTGGTTTGGAACATGTTTTATTTTCCATTATGTATGGGATAATCCTTCCCATTGACTTTCATATTTTTCAAGATGGTTAAAACCACCAACCAGATAATCATGTATACTTGGTGGCTCATCCCATGAATCCTAAGCAGGTTGTATGAATGATATCCCCAGTTATAGGATGTTATAGCTGGGATTGGGCTTAGTCCACTTGTACCCTCTGGTAAACTAACATAGCTATGAAAAATCACCATCTTTGATAGGTAAATCAACTACAAATGTGCCATCTTCAATAGCTATGTTCAATTACCAGAGGGTAACTAACCTTAACTAAGCTGGTTACGTCCGGGTGAACCACCAAAAAGCAGGTCACGAAAACAGGCCACGTTAATCAGCGCCTTTCACGGCCTTTTGAAAGGATGGGCGGAGAGTTTTTGTTGAATGGATTACAAGGTCAATCTTTGATAGGTAGAAACTAATCCTTTAGTCTTGTGGCATCAATGGGATTATCTACGTTCACCAGCTAAGAATTTGTCATATTTTGCAGGGTAATTATCTGAGATTGGCCGTGATTATAATTGGAAGGTTATAATAGGATGGAGTTACAATTGATAGGACTATAAATCAACTGAATAGTGGTTAACAATGGGTTAGTAATAGGATATCACAATAGTTTAATGGATTCCAATTGGATGTTTATAACTCCAGTGACTAGCTATTCAATGGGATTGAATGGTGATGAAAAATGGGATTGGGATACTAGTTGTTTATTTAACTTTAGTGGGTTTATCATAGATGTATATCGAAGTAGTTAATGAGGATTATAAACATTGAACTAAGAATCATAGCTGGGAGGTACCAGCCTGTGGCAATCTAAGATAGTAACATAGCGATGGAACATCACAATTTTTAATACATAACTCATTTGTGTATGGGTCAAGACCACTTATCACCATATTTGCGGCTATAACCATCCATTAACCAATTAGTTTATGGTACCTAGGGTACCAGGGTTTTGACTCACAACCATCTATTCCTATGGGCCATTTCTATAGCTAGGTGAAATTCCCAAAGGACATTTTTCAGGTCGTCTGTACATGGGGCATACTGTGGAAAATTGGAGAGTTCACATGAGGGATATGGTGATCAACGAGGGGAGCTGGGTTACATTATCCTATCATATATCCTATCATTATCCTATCATATATCCTTATTGATGGTGAATGATGGTTACATATCCAATCATATCTCCATATTCCATCCTTATACCCGATTAAATGCGCGGAAACGTGAAATTGCCCAAGGAAAAGTGCCTGAACTGGGCAAAGCCAAAGACATGTTGAACGAGTTCGAGGCGGGTCAGCCGTGCAAAATTGGTGAAACCAGGCCCATCCGCCCAGAATTGGACATATTTTCTACTATCTTTGGTAAATACCTGCCATGAACAGAAACTCAAGATTTGAATAAAGATTGAAAACCCGGGTCCTGAGTTGAACAAGTACCTAACTTTGGTGAAGATTCGAAAGGCTCTGCATTAAACTTTACCGGCGCAGAGCTTGCACATGTTGAATCATGATGACCTAGTTGAATCAGCATGATTTAGAGCAATCACAGTTGTTTTTGAAGATTTTGCCTTGTGACGTTCACGTTTGTATCAGTTTAATCCATCATTCTCCCAGGTGCAAACTATATATTTTGAGATAAGTGGCTTAAGCAGCAACCTCCTTGATACAGTAGTGACCACATCTGATTGGCAAGCTATCTTTGTCCCCCTCAGCATTATTTTGATTGAGGCGTAAAGGGTGTTTGAAATTAACCTTTCTGAATAATACTGCACAACATCTGTATGATTCTCTATGTATTTTTACATCTGTTTTTCAATTCTATATGTGAATATGTATTATATATATAGGTATGTGTATATTATGTATTTATTATGTATATTGTGTATATCATAATATATATATACTGTATATTGCATTATGTTTAATCTTTTATGGTTCTACCTCCAGTGAGAGCCACACGAATTGAGGACTAATGATCCATGGATTAATCAACATAATTTACGGCCTTTGCTGTGCTGCAAAACTTGGGTGTTTCCATGGCTTTTGGCAGAACTTTCAAAGAAAACCATATAAAATCCATATGTTTTTTGCAGTTTCCATCCCACATTAGGATATGATGTTCAATTCAATGGATGCATATGGGTTTCTATCCATTCATCCATCTCTATGATTCCCATTGAAAACTCAGCAGATCCCAGCAGTTCCTCCAGTAGGAACGACCAAAAAATGCCCAGACGAGTCTCAGACTTCCGAACATCTTCCCGCCACGCAGGTCATGAAAAAGTTGAGTCATCCGAACATCATCCGATGCTACGGCTACTTCTGGGACTATCCCTCTCAGTCCTTGTACATCGCCCTTTGGCCGGTCTTGGAAGAGAGAATTTTCCGATGCAAATCCCCTGTTGCTGCAGAAAACCTGGCGCAGTTTTTTCGGGTTAAGCAACGGGAAAACCATGGAAAAAAACTGGAAAAACCCACAGCAAATGAGTTTCAATTTGTGGATGTTCATATCCCCGAATATGTTGGAATAGGTCTTGATCCCGTATATCCTTATGATTGGGACTTCGTTCTCTCCAATCGGTTTTGAGTGTTGTTCTAAAGTTGAGTCATCACGACAAGGTGAGTCACAAGCAAACCATCCCAATTACAATGTTCTTTTCTAATGTAGGCTGCCCAATAGTAAAACCCCCCCTAAATAAAATATTTTTTAAAAAAAAATTAGGGGGGGTCAGCATTCCAATAGTAATTTTTCGGAACCTTATAGCTGGGATCATGATATGTATCTGATAGATTCTCCATGGTTTTGTTGGGTTTCTGATAGATTCTGAATGGATTTGGTTGGGTTTCTGAGAGATTGGCGAAGAGTTGGGAAAGGAGAAGGAGGAGAAGGAGAAGGAGAAGGAGGACAACAAGATTGGAGTTGCGGAAAAAAGTTTCCACTATTGCCATGCCTGGTGCAGGTTTGTTATTGCTATTCTGGGGCTTTTTAAATAAGGGTTTTATAAGGAAATCAGCTGTTTGGTAATTGGATCAGATTTCTGGAATCTAAGCTTTTGCTGATCAAAAGTGAAGGCTGCTTTGAAAAGGATTTGCTTTACTTGACTCTTTTGGCAATACTAAAAGTAAATGGGGCTAATTGACTTTTAGTATTGGAGAAAAAATTGGAGTTGGGAAAACAGTTTCCACTATTGCCATGTTGGGTCCGCTATTGGCCATGCCCTCTGGACAAGGTCTGAACATGACTCTTTTGGCAATACTAAAAGTAAATGGAGCTAATTGACTTTTAGTATTGGAGAAAAATTGGAGTTGCGGAAAAATGTTTCTACTATCACTATTGGCTAGACAACATTAATGTGACTTGGTTGTATCAGTATGTTCTTTCCAATGACAATTTTCTAAAAATCAATTATATGTTTTTTTTTTATTAGTAAACCATCCCAATTACATCCCAAGTTGAGTATCATTTTTCTAATGTGTTCTTTTTTTCTCAGTATCATCAGTATCAGTTGTCTTTGTCGGTTCAAAATCATGCTTCCAAAAACGCCTACATACACTCAATCTACCATCTGGCTATTTAACATAGCCATGGAAAATCACCATTTTTTTAATAGGTAAACCCAGGTAAACCATCTATAAATGGGCCATTTTCCATGGCTATGTTAAATAATCAGAGGGTATATATTGTAAGCCAACATACCTAATCTCCATCACTGATGGTTGTATCAACAATTTCTCATTGCAAATATACACATTGTCCCCGTTTTTTGCCCATAGATGTCCACATATTTGCTGGTTAATTAAGTGTACAATTGAAGTACGTCAAAGCACAACTTGGATGGTTGAAAATACAATTTGGCTATTGATTTGCTGGTGATTTCCTAGTTTTGTTTGTTTCTTGTACTCCATGTTTCTTGGTCAAATCTCATTGAATCCACATGTTTTCCGCGAAAGTCGCATTAAAGTGCCATTAAGTCCCACCAAAAAGTCCCGTAAGATATACCTTTTTTGGTGAAAGTCCCATTCAAATCCCAAATCTCATTAAGTCCGACAAAATCTGGTTGGTGGTTTCAAACATGTTTTATTGTCCATTTCATATATTGGATATCATCCTTCCCATTGACGAACTCATATTCTTCAAGATGGTTAAAACCACCAACCAGATATAAATGTCCCATTCAAATCCCAAATCCACTAAAAAATCCGACTAAATCTGACTAAAATCCCACTAAATCCATTTCAACCTCCATTTTTTACGGTGAAAGTCTCCTTCAACCGCCGGGTGACATCCGTGACATCCGTGTGACGCGCTCGTCAGCGAGGTCTTGGAATACGCCAACCGCGGGGATCTGCACAGCGAGCTGCAGCTGCTCGTTTTTTGCGCCCGGTGAAAGACGGAGATTTCGAGGGAAAACAAAGAATGGGATTTAATGGTGGTTTAATGGGATTTAATGGTGGTTTAATGGAATTTAATGGTGATTTAATGGGATTTAATGGTGATTTAATGGGATTTAATGGTGATTTAATGGGATTTAATGGTGGTTTAATGGGATTTAATGGTGGCTTAATGGGATTTTATAGTTATTTGAGGGGATTTAATGGTGATTTAATGGGATTTAATAGTGATTTGAGGGGCTACAATCTATTTAACTATTGTAATCCTATTATTAATACACTATAAACCATTATTTAGTTGATTTATAGTCCTATCAATAGTAACTCCATCCTATTATACAATGTGGGGCCCCCAGTCAGTCGATACCAAAGTTGGTGAACATGACTTATACACCAACTTACAACTGAGGGGCCCCTCAGTGTTTTCTGGTTTGTCTGAAAATGGGGTACCTCTGGTTATCCATTGGTCAACCATCATTTTTTCCTGAACAAAAATGTCATTTTGTGGGTAGATGGGCCATGGAGTTAGTTAACCCCAGTTACTCATCAGGAATCGCGTTTTTCCTATGGCCCATCTAAGTACCCAATTTTCAGACAGTTCCCCATAGTGTAATGGGACGAACCATGAAGTGGTTCCCGTTTCACGGGATGATTCTGGGATGATGGGATCATGGAATAATCCCGTATCTGGGTAAATTTCATCACGACCGAACCCTGTTCTCCCGAGCCCTGGAAATCATAGTAAGGGGAAACATCCCCTTGTATGGCCCAACAATTCAGGTTAGTGAAATAAACAGTAGATTCACTACATCTATGAGTAGGTTTATAATTCCAATAACTATGGTTTTTGGTACTTATAACCATAGTTACTGGTGTTTATAATCATAGTTAGTGAAATATTATAATTTACCCAGCCGCTAAATGTGTTGAAAGCCCAACGCTTGGTTGATGAAACGAATGTTCGGAGATGAAAGTCGAATCTACCCTGGACCTATATATGGGAAATTACAAGAATCCAAGAACGGGGAATCCCATTTTTTTAGCCAACCAGTATGGAATGGCAGAGGGATTTTCTCAGAGCACTGCTCAATTTGTTTACTGGAGATTTACTGGTGATTTATATGTTGTTTTAACATGTTTGAATGGTAATTCAACGGAATTTAAGAATGGTGATCGGTAGATTATAATTAGTACTAGATGATATAGATGATATAGATGATATAGAGATATGGTATTCTATTTAGATAATGGTTGTAATTACAGATACTTTACATTAGTAAATTATCTAGATAATTACATATGATAATACGATATAGAAGCCTGAATTGTTACGTAGTATATGAATTATATAGTTTTTTTTTTTAGTATACAGTATAACACAGTTTTCTTATGATTAAGTATTAACAACCAGGTAGTAAATCACTAACAGATTTCAGTATAATTATCTCCAGGTAGTAAATCGCGAACAGGTTTCAGTATAATTATCTAGATAGTATACTATTACTAATAAATACATATAAATATATATATATATATATATCACTAGACTATCTATATATAAAAAATACATGGTAACATACTAATATACTAATGTACATAGAGCTATAACAAAAGCTGTAACGATCAAACATCCGGTATCAAATATTTGCTTCACTACATATACTGACTGCATAAAAACTAGAACAACAAGACGTATCATTATAGTGACTCTATAGCGAAGATGATCATCTGGTTGGTGGTTTGGAACATTTTTTATTTTCCCCAATAGTTGGGATGATGATCCAATCTGACTAATAGTTTTCAGGGTTGAAACCACCAATTAGTCATTAGTGAGTGCTATCCACCATCTAAAAGTGAGTTGCTACAGGTCATGCAGGTCATGCAGCCCCTTTGGGTTCAAAGGGTGGTTGTGATTGTGTCATTTAAGGTACCCTCTGGTAAACGTTTACATAACTATTGAAATCACCATTCTTAATGGGAAAATCCAATATTTCTTTGGCCATTTTCAATAGCTATGTTTGTTTACCAGAGGGTAAGTCCAATTGTGATTTATGATTGTGTCGACGGGAATTCCAGGATCCTAAATTGGAGGTACGTTAGTACCATTTTTCAGGCCATATTTTGTGGGGATATCCCAATTTGTGGTTTATGATTTGCGTAATAGCCCGTAATGGAACGATTTATGATGATTTATAGTAGCGCCCTTAAATGGTTGACAATTGGGCTGATTTATATACATGGTTTATATATTAATACAATACCTGGATCTTCAAACACCTAAAATATTTTGTCCCTTTCGGTTGTTTACAAATTATGACATATATTATATTATATATGTATCAGTCTGGATCGGTTTATATATCTGGATCCCATGATGAAGGCATGAATTCCTGATGAAGTCACAGCTGGAGGTGCTTGGAGGGCGACACTTTGGCTCGAGAAGTTATAGCGACTCTTCGCCTTTACGTGTCTTCAATTGTTCAAATGTTTGAAGTGAATGTATCGTTCCCGAGTGGTTGCGGGGAAACTCTCTTACTCCCTCAACACTCCAAAGTGAGGGACCTGAAATGTTTGGCCCAAGAAACTCTCGGACAGGGTTTCCTGAAACTCGTCACTGCGAAGGGACATCCTTTGACCAACCTGGAGGCTTCGTTTGAAACTGAAGGGATTCAGGATGGGGAGCACCTAACGGCTGTGGTGCAGCAAGTGCAAATGAATGCAACAGTTAGAGCTTTTGCACTGTGGTGCTGTGGAGGCAACACCGTCCTGACCTGGGGTGACTCCTCGGCAGTCAAAGATCAGCTCAGGAATGTGCAGCAGATTCAGGTCACAGTCGATGCATTTGCCGCGATCTTGGCCGATGGATCGGTGGTTGCTTGGGGTGATCCAGACTACGGTGGTGACTGCTCGGCAGTTCAAGATCAGCTCAGGAAAGTGCAACAGGTTCAGGCCACACATGGCGCATTTGCCGCGATCTTGGCCGATGGATCGGTGGTTGCCTGGGGTCATCCAGGCTACGGTGGTGACTGCTCGGCAGTTCAAGATCAGCTGAGGAAAGTGCAACAGATTCAGGCCACTCAAAGCGCATTTGCCGCAATCTTGGCCGATGGATCGGTGGTTGCCTGGGGTCATCCAGGCTACGGTGGTGACTGCTCGGCAGTTCAAGATCAGCTTAGGCACGTTCAACAGATTCAGGCCACAGATGTCGCATTTGCCGCCATCTTGGCCGATGGATCCGTCGTTACCTGGGGCCGTCCACGCACTGGTGGTGACTGCTCAACAGTTCAAGATCAGCTGAGGAAAGTGCAACAGATTCAGGCCACAGCTGGCGCATTTGCCGCGATCTTGGCCGATGGATCGGTGGTTGCTTGGGGTGATCCAGACTACGGTGGTGACTGCTCGGCAGTTCAAGATCAGCTCAGGAAAGTGCAACAGATTCAGGCCACTCAAAGCGCATTTGCCGCAATCTTGGCCGATGGATCGGTGGTTGCCTGGGGTGATCCAGACTACAGTGGTGACTGCTCGGCAGTTCAAGATCAGCTCAGGAAAGTGCAACAGATTCAGGCCACTGGACGCGCATTTGCCGCGATCTTGGCCGATGGATCGGTGGTTGCCTGGGGTGATCCAGACTACGGTGGTGACTGCTCAACAGTTCAAGATCAGCTGAGGAAAGTGCAACAGATTCAGGCCACAGCTGGCGCATTTGCCGCGATCTTGGCCGATGGATCGGTGGTTGCTTGGGGTGATCCAGACTACGGTGGTGACTGCTCGGCAGTTCAAGATCAGCTCAGGAAAGTGCAACAGATTCAGGCCACAGATGGCGCATTTGCCGCAATCTTGGCCGATGGATCGGTGGTTGCCTGGGGCAATCTAGACTATGGTGGTGACTGCTCAGCCATCCAAGATCAGCTTCAGTATTTGTAGATATTTGTAGGTCTGCGGGTACATCTTGAAAATTGGAACTCCAAACTCCTATGCTGATTAATCCACCCAGAAAAAAGGAAGAATATGGAAAAACACTGTGGTAAGCCCAGTGCAGCACCTGCATCTGCTGAGTCGATGAGTGGCAGTTCGCCACCAAGTGGTGGTTGTTTTTTTTTTTGTGGTTCCGTCACCAAATCCAAGGGAACTATGGTTGGTTTATGTTCATCCAGCTGTTGTCCATCCCCGATGATATTCCATACATTTCCATACCCCTTACGACTTTGTCCCTTGAACAAATGCAACACGTTCCATCAGGGCTTTGTTCCGGGAGTAGAAAACGTTTACATAGATGTGGAAAACCCACCATTTGTAGATCATTTCATGATGGCGTGAAACCCCATAGCTGTTCCACATCTATTACACCTGCAACAACTGGGGTCCCCCAGTTATGTTTGTTGGTTTACAAACCCTGTTAACCATAGTCATAAGATGTCGTAAGTATCAAAAACTATAGTTATTGCAGTTATTTAAGCACCAACTTAGCTATCGTTTGGGGGTCCCACTTTGTGTAGATCTACCATAAACTCAGCATTTTGCCGGTTGGTTGTGTCAACCAACTTCGAAAAATACCGTGGGTCGGAGTAGGAGTAGAAAATCGAATCCGTAGAGCCCTTGACACTGTCACAGGCACAGTTGGGAGAACCGAAGAAGCACAATATGTTGAGAAAAACCGTTGGGATCTGGAAGCTGGGAAAATTGAGTTGATTTTTAAGGAAATACTTCAAATGAAGAACTAAAGGTTGAACTATTTGTTTTATAGGGTTACATATGAAGCAGATATGGGAACGAACATTGTAAAATTGGAGTCGGAGTTGTCTTTTTTTTTTCCAATGTTTGCATCCTTTTTTGATAAACTGAAGATTTTCCAATCGTGGGTTGACATTGTGTGCTATTCTGAGAAATTCTATGTGGGTCCCACCATTTGATAAGGCAGGATTTTGAAGGGTTTCCAGGATGTTTTTATTCCAGGTTCCCAACCTCTCTATCTATTTGGGGGTTTCCATAGTCATGGGGGTACCCCATAGCTGGATGGTTTATATTTCATGGAAATTCCCAATCTAAAATGGATGATTTGGCAGTACCTCCCATTTTCGGAAACCTCTATTTGGGTTGCGAAAAAGACATCTTAAAGATCAAATATGATCAAATATACGGTAACGAAATTTAAATATGTGGAGGGTGGGCCAGACTGCGAGGCCCCGGAGGTAGTATGAAACACCAGTTCATCCGTATGTTTAAATGGCTGGGCCCGTTCCGCATATTTAAATGTCGATTCAAGCACGTTGAACCATTAGCTAAGGACCTCCAAGGAAATTTTCAGCCTACCCTGGAGTTCGTAAGGTACTATAGGCTATAGGTGGTAAAATATTGGGATTGTGAGTGAGTGGGTCCTGATTTTATGATTGATTTATGGCGGTTTTGTCGTGGTTTTATGGTGGGTTTGTCGTGGATGTATGGTGATTTTGTATTGGATAAATCCTTCATAAATCCCCCATAAATCCTCCATAAATCCTCGATAAATCATCCATAAATTTTAAATCCTCCATAAATCTTCCATAAATCCTCTATAAATCCTTCATAAATCCCCCATAAATCCTCCATAAATCCTCGATAAATCATCCATAAATCCTCCATAAATCCTCCATAAATCTTCCATAAATCTTCCATAAATCCTCCATTCATCATCCATAAATCCTCCATAAAGCTTCTATAAAACCTATATCTTCAAGTGGCCGGGCGGGCCACGGAAAACCTTCCCGGAGGTAGTCTAAAATACCAGTTCGTATATTTAAAAATCCGTATATTTAAATGTGGTTACCGATATAAGTGATGAAATTGGATGGCCGGGAAAAAACACATGGTTTCAAAGCAACAACAACGAAAATACAGGCTTTCTCTAAACAGATGGTATACATTGTTAAATAATTATATCTCCAAGATTATGTGAAGAAAAAACATGATTTACCATGATTTGCTCATTGTTTGGTGGCATTGTTTGGATATCAAAACATGAGCATCCTGTCATCCCATCGCATTGCCCGCCATTTTGGAGCGCGTTTGGAGACCCCAGAGACGCTGAGGAATCGGAAACGTTTGGGGAAACACTTTGGCAACGACGAGGCGCTTTAGATTAGATCGGTTTTGTTTTTTTTCGGAAAGTAGGTGTTGGAAATTTATCGGATTTCACTAAAAATGGTGATTTAGCATTTTTTTGAAGGGACGTGGGGAAAGATCCTGATTTTAATGAGGACTTATTGTGGGATTTCTTGTGGGATTTTGTGGGATTTGATGGTGACTTAAAAATTAAAATTCATTGTGATTTAATGAAACTAAGTATGGTTTGGTGGCGTTTTTCCTAGATACCCAAGTTGGTGAGAACATAACTAGTATAGTCAGTAACTAGTTGGTTTTGTTGGTTTCTGAGAATTTTCAGGAACTAGGTAGTGGGGGTTGTCAGCCAACTTATACCTGGGGGGCCCACTTTGTAGATCTTGGTAGTTCCGTCCCTATGAAATACTGCGCATATGGCCCCTCAAAGTGATAGGTCCGGTACCAGGATTGACAGTTGGGTAACTGAATGGTGATTAGAACCAAGCATTTTATAAGAAATTAACCAACAAACATGGGATTCATACAATGTGGGGCCCCCGGTTGATAGCTAAGTTGGTTTATAACTCCCATGATTATGGTTTTTGATAATTATAACTATATAGTTAATAGGGTTGTAATAAATCAATTTATAACTAGGGGGCCCCACATTGTATAGTAATGAAATTTGGTCAACCAACATTATGATTTAATTAAGCAACATGGAGGAGCAAACCAGCACATATATGGTGTGTGACAAGCCAACTATTCGTGTGAATATAATCGGGATAACAATGATATATATATATATACTGTACAGTGGTTCCGCAGTTTGCTAACTTGGCTCAAAAAAGTACCCTCTGGTAATTTAACATAGCTATTGAAAATGGCCATTTATAGTGGATTCACCCATTAAACATGGTGATTTTCCATAGTGAAGTTAGTTTACCAGAGGGTAGATGAACTAATACAACTAGCATTTACAACAAGTACAGTCCATTTTTATGGTCGGCACTCGTGAAGAGCCACGACTCTGACCCTCATTCTGAGCTCCCATCATCCTGATTCCAAGGATTCCAAGGGGGCCATGACTTGGGAGATCCCCAGGGTCCCATGCCATACTGAAAACCTGTTGGATAGTTCCGATGTATCAATTCATATGGGGAATTTCCGAAAGTGGGGCTACCCCCAAATTCATCATCCAGCTATTAGATTGTGATTTTCCATGGAATAAACGGGGTACCACCATGACTATGGAAACCCCTATATCCCAATCGATACAATGTGGGCCCCCAAGCTCTATTAACTATACGTAGTATTATATAATTATATAAGTATCATAAAAAAAATTGGTTGGTGAAATCTCATGAGAAATACAATTTTGGTTGCTTAGTCTCTATGAAATCACTATATTTTTCTTTTTTTAGAATCGATTCAAAATTTATATTTTGGATCATTTTGGTTAAATTTTATATGTTTGGATCATTTTGGTTGATTCGATCAGTCTGAAATCAGCCTTTTGAAACGCGATCCCCCAAGGTGTGGGGTATCTTGGCACAAGTCCTCTTGGGCCTTCGTCACATCCACGCGCGGGGCATCGTTCACCGTGACGTGAAGTCTCCTGGCCCCGTGGCCCCGTGGTGTGTTTTTCTGACGTTGGATGTACCCTGCTAATGGCTGTTACATAGCTATTGCACATGGCGTTGAAATAGTTGATTTGCTCACTAATAGCATGGTGATTTTCCATATTATGTAAACGATTACCAGAGGGTAGATGGATCTCGGTAAATTCGAGTGGGATTGAACTATTGCTTCATCCCGCTATAGACGAGTTCACCCTAGACATGGATGATGTCATCCCACATCCCACTGAAATAACTAGGGATATCTAGGTCAATCTTAGATGGGTACTTTAATCCTTTAGTCTTTTGGTAGCAATGGGAATATCTACTAACCAGCAAAGAATTTATTTCTTTGAAGGGTATCTGGCAGATTGGCAATGTATACATACATATAGCTAAGTTAGTTTATAACTCCAATAACTATGATTTATGGTACTTATAACTATAGTTCATGGGGTTTATAAACCAACTAACATCACTGGCGGGGGGGCAAAACTAGGGATATAACCGACTTAGGATTGGTGGGTAGTTCGCCACCAAGTTGGATTGGGAATTGGATGGGAATTATGTTGATTTAACTACCTCGCTGTTCTCCCTCACTGGAATGATGGCTTATGTTTGGGGGAATGATGGCTTATGTTTGGCTAACTATATATAGTTTTAAATCTCCACAAACCCTAGCTGGCCTAGTTCTAAACCTTCAAAGCAGCCAGAAATATAGAGTTATATATCACCACAAACATCATAAACCCTAGCTGGCCTAGTTCTAAACCTTCACAAGCAAAAATCCAGTATCAATTCCCATACTTGCTGTTTCAATCCCAATTTTCATTGCATTTTCATCCTGCTTTCGCTGGGCACCATAAATGACAAGTTTTGCCAGTGAAATACCTTGATAAATCACCATCAAATCCCATGAACATCACAATAGTTTCCCATTAAATCACAATTTAACCCATCAAATCCCATGAAATCACCATATGTTTCCAATTAAATCAAACTTATCCCATCAAACCCCATGAAATCACTATTTTGCCCATTAAATCACATTTGTTCACATCAAAACACCATGAACTTGCTGGGGCACCTCCGACATCGAGATGAAGAAGGAAACCAAGTCAGCGACTACATCGCATACACCGTCAAAGCGGTCGATCGGGGATTGGAGCTGTGTGAAAAAGCTGAAACCCTACACGGGACCTGGGGTTCCAGTGGAAGCAGCAGCGGCCACCAGCAGCAGCAACAGAAATAGACATGAAGCTGCAGAATTTCTGGTCTCCGATGATGATGATGGTGTAGACATCACTTGGAAGGGCGAAACATTTTCGCAGTGGCCCGTGAAGGTTGCTATCGTGGGCTATGATCGCACCCTGCGGGGCCAACCTGTCGGTGCCTCAAAACCTGGGTTGCCTGTGGAGGCTCAAGCACAGCTTGGTTGCAAAGGCTTTGACATTGCATGATTGGGACCTATAGTTTTGTTTGCACATACCTTTTTATTGGTTGTCATGCTTCCTGGTTGCATTCATTGGCTTGTCTCACGATTTTCATTTCAGGGATCACCGCGCCAACACACTCATGACTGGTCTAAGGCCTTCGATTCGGTACCCCACGACAAAATTCTGTATGCTCTTTAACTCCCTCGATGTTCCAGAGCCCCTTGCCAATGCCATCATGTCTCTTTATGCTTCTCCTACCTTTCAAGTTCACGACAGTGGCTTCACATCAGACGTTCACCAACAGCTAGGCGGTGTCCGTCAAGGCTGTCCTTTATCGCCTTATCTGTTCGTACTTTGCATGTCTGCGCTCTTCCGCCACGTGGAACTCTTCTACGAATCTCATTTCTCTCAAATTGCGGGCGTAATCAACCGTCCTTTCCCTTTGTGGGACCTGCAATATGCTGATGATACCGTCCTCTTGGCACACTCACCTATTGCCCTAACCCGGCTGCTACACACCCTTCAAATTCTTGCTCTTGATTTTGGACTGGAACTCAATTTCTCGAAATGCGAACACATCGCCCTCCACTCGTGCGGGAGCGTATCCGCTTTTGTCCTGATCTGAACTCCGAGCAATGTCCTTGCAACCTCTGTTTCAGCTCAACGGAACCCTCAAAACTGGTGACTCTTGTCACTTCAGCCAGATATCTAGGTGCTTATGTCAACGACACTGGTTCCTCAGCGGAACATATCAAAAACCGCCTTTCCAAAGCCACTGCCGCCGCAAAGCTCTTAGGCACATTCTTCCGTAATCAGTGTATTAGCCCCAGCTTCCGCCTCCTTGTTTACCAATCAGTTGTCCAATCCATTCTTCTCTTCACCATCGAGAACATCGTCCCAACCCGAGCAGAGCTTGTTCGTCTTGATTCTGTTCACTTTCGTATTCTCCGGCAGATTTTTGGAATCAAATCCTCCTTTTTCCACCGGGTTCTCCAGGATGACTTTGAGCCTTGTTCCAACGAGTATTTGCAACAGCTAGCCAATTCCCAGGGTCGCTACATCTACATTCCCTCTCAGCTTGCGTCCACACGAAGGCTACAATTGCTAGGTCACATCCTCCGACATCAAGATTCCCTTGAATATCATTGTTGCTTTACTGCTTCCCATTCTTATCGAACCGCCCGGTCGGATTCTGCCATTCGCAGAGGTCGTCCTCGTCCTCATTGGGCGGAGCTTACCCTCACTGAAGCATTTCGTCGGTCCTCTTTTGTTGCTTCCCCTTCCCCTGTTGATCTTTCTTCCGATTTCTTTCAATACCCATCTGCAACTGAAGTTTCCCAGGCTCATGGTGGTTCCCTCGCTTCTTGGTCAAATAACACTCCTCTCTACCGAACAGTCAATGTCAGAGCCAACAACCGATCCCAATGGCGAGTTATCACTGGCAAACTTCCTCCTTCCCGAAAAAATCACTCCCGGCCAACTAGTCTATAATTTGTCTATTTTTTTATTTTCTTTAAGTCAGTCTATTGTTTCATTTGATTTTTGTTGGGTTTTCAACTCTTTGCTGCACTGGGCCGAACACAAGCAGGCTGGGGCTGACGGGTCAAACGTGGCCCTTTCGCTTCACAAAAAAACACCATGAAATCAAATGCAAAATTCAATGAAATATAATGAAATCACAATATGTTCCGATTAAATCACATGTTTTCCAACTAAATCACAATAACATATATATTTTCCAATTAACAACATTTTTTCTAAAACATCACCATGAAATCACCATACAAACACAATAACATCATAATAAATCACCATATGTTTCTCATTAAATCACCATCTCTTTCAAAATAAACAATCACCATGAGCTCCCATTAAGTCACCATAAAATCAAATAAAACACCATGAAATCACCATATGTTTCCCATTAGATATGTTTGTCCAATAAAATCAGCATAAAATCATATAACATCCCATGAAATCATCATATTTATATGTTTCCCATTAAATCACCATGAAATCATATAAAAATCACCGAAATCATCAATTTTTTTCCCATGAAACCCACCCAATGTTGCTGGTTTGTGGTTTAACAAAACTGCTTTGTTTGCGCCAAGGACTATGAATCTGCTGCTGAATGACCAGGGTGTCATCAAGCTTGGCGACTTCGGCGTATCGCGGCAGATGTCTGAGCACACCATGCTCCTTGACGCCTCGGGGGGGATCTGGGGGAACCCTCGGTGATTTCATGGGAGTGTGAACATCTGCTCATTTTATGGTGATTTCATGGGAAAACACATGTGATTTGAGGGGATTTGATGGTGATGTTATGGTATTTCACTGGCAAAATAGTGTGATTTAATCAGGTTCCATGGCTATTCATCCCATCAATGATGTTTGTTGGTTTACAAACCCAATTAGCTATACTTAAGCCACTAAGCATAACAAGGACTTAGCTAAGAATAGAGCACCAACTTGTAATGCGCAACTTTTGAATACAAACCATTGGGATACCCAGAATGGTACATAGTTGGCTGTGTATACCAGTAACCAGTTGTCGGAACTCGGAACTAGCTACCGTAATCTATGCTAACCTATGGTTACAATATGTTACAATCCAGTGATGAATGGGATATTAGCCACTCATCTATCCCAAAAATAATCATATAGAGAAAACCTCAGTCCTAAAGGCCTAGATTAACCAGGCCTTTGGCAAAGGCCTAGTTTAGCGAGGACTTGGACCGACAGGGTATGGATTCTCTGGGCCAGTTTTAACAAATTCACCGCGACGTCGGGAAACGATCAATGATCAATGGCCATTTTTCAGGTTGGTCGATCAATGGCCATATCTTATTCCGAAGGTCAAACATGGCAACTGAACATCCTCTAGTGGAGGTGTTTAAATGTTTTTAATGGAGCATCAGAAAACTAGTTGATGGATTTTCCAGCCATGTTTGATTAAAGGATGGTAGGATTCTTTAGATAATGGGGTGAAGTAAAAGCATTAAATTCCATTATAGATCCAATTATATAAATCCCATTAAATCAATCTGTCATTATATCCTTATTATATATCCCATTAAATCCCATTAACTCCTATTGTAATATGTGTAATGTGGGTAAGCCAATGTCATAAACCACCCATGACTGGCTGGGAATGGTTTGAATCCCACCTATAGAAATGGTGATGATTGGGGGATGGTTTAATGGCATTGTTTTACCCACATTGAATATCACGTAGAAATGGAGGTTTCCGTTTTGTCATGGGGCTATCAAATCATCCAGTCGTATTCTAAAATCCATTAACTCCTACAATGTGGGGCCCCCAAGATAGCTAAGTCAGTTTCTAACTCCAATGTCACGATGGTTTATGGCACTTATATGCACTTATAACTAAGCTTGCTGGGGCTTATAAACTAACAAACTTAAGTACAAAGTGGGGCCCCCTACTTAGCTAAGTTGGGTTATAACTAGCTTATATAATTATGGTTTATCGTACTTACAACTATAGTTAATAGGCTTTATAAATCAATTTATAACAAAAGGATGGGGCCCCAGTTCGTTAGCTGAGTTGGTGAACATAACTACAATTTCACCATAGTGTATGATACGCAAATAACTATATTTAGATGGGGTTATAAACGAACTAACATCACTGGAGGGCCCCATCCTGTAGGGGGCCCCACATTGCACGTATTCCCATATATTTCTTCAGGGTAGCCTTTTGTATCATGTCGTCTCCGTAGATATCCACATCCAAGTCATGGGCCCGAAGAAATTCGTTTTGGGCCTCGCGGTCTTTTCATATTTTTTGTTGGGTGATTTTGAATGCTGAGTTCATGGTGAGTTATGGGATTTCATGGTGATTTAATGGATTTTATGGGATCTTATTAAATTTTACAGGATTTAATGGGATCTATTGGTGAATTTGGTGATTTAATGGCACTTAATGGTGATTTCGTGGGATTTTACCAAGAACAATGGTGATTGAATGAGGTTTAACACCAGGGATTCTCATGGGGGTAACCATCTAGCAATGGTGACTTCATGGGATTGCAATTTCTGGTAGAGCTAGGTGGGAATTGCAACCAGTTGGTTGTGACTATGTCCTCATAATGGCAGAAAAACATGGGGTCCATGTTGGTGTACATGGGTTGGACATTGCGTATATCTTTCCCATACATGTATACATGATTATACATGTACATGTAGTCCAAACAGTACATGTGTAGCTGCACAAACATCATTCTGCATTTTTTGGATTATGATATGGAGGTTTCCATGGGATTTTCCCATGGAAGTCACCATCCAGCGAGCGATTCAGAAGGTGATTTTCCATGCTGAGGTAATGATGATTTCTAGGATTTCATGGTGATTTCATGGGAGTGAACGGGATAAAATAGTACATGGATGATAAGTTATAACCTCTTACTAAGTGGGTAGTGATAACAATATTTCCACCCAACTTAGCCCTAATTATGGTGATAATACATGGGTAATAGTAACTAGACAAATCCTACTTCTCCCACTTACAAGTGGAGTTACAAGCCACAAACTGTGGTGAAGCAGCAAAGTACCTTGAGCGTTTGGCCAAAGACTCTCAGCACCGCCCCATTTTGGACAAACAGAATCTACATTAGTATGTCTTTATATCCAACCAATCCTTTGGCATGCCCCAAACATTTACACTATGTATGTACTTATATATCTATATACATATATATATATATACATATATATATATATATAAAAATATACATACATATATATATATATATACATACATATATATTTACACATAGACTAGATATACTTGGTATTACCTCATCCCGCAAGCTTGGATGCTCCCTAGGCAGCTTCAGTCCTTCTATGGCACGCCTCTCTACTTATCGCCCGAGCTCATCGAAGGAGCCTTTTAATGAAACACGAAACATAGACAATGTGGGCCCGCCGTAATTGTGATAGCGTTCAGTTGGGGGCCACTAATCACTCCAATCACTATAGTTTATGAATGTTTATGATACTTGATAGTATAACAGGGTATATATTATCATATATTATTGTTTATATATATTATTATTTATATATTATGACAATGTGGGGCCCCCCAAACTTATAACTATAGTTAATGAGGTTTATAAACCAACAAACATAACGTTTGGCGGGCCCCACATTGTACTGAGGATGTCGGACGAATCGTCGGAATCATTGTTAATCTTCAGGGTTTTTAAGGAATAGAAATGGGCATATAGATAAAGAGAGATAGCTAAGATAGATGGATGCAAATGCAAATATATTATATATATATGTATATATATATATATATATATGTATATATATAGTATATACATATCACCGCAGCAAGATCAAAGAAATACGTGCAGCCTATGGTATCAAACAAAGAAGCGCTTGCAGCCGACAGGACGACCTTACACGCAGAGTACGGATCTGTGGTCCTTGGGTACCTCAGTCGCGATTCATGGCCAAAACAGTACCATCCCCGCAACCAATACAGACCTTGCTTTCAACAGGCGGGTTGGAAATGATGTTTTTCCAAACAAAGGTGTGATTTTCAGGGTCTATTTTGGTTGGGATCTGAAACAAGTATCTAGAATTTATGTTTTTTTCTTTTTCCACACCGCCAAAGTTCCCACTAATCAGAACCTCTCAGAGTTGATCTAGATTTTGGGGCAATCACCCAAAGAAATGAATATTTGTGCCATGGTCAAAAATATATCTACTGGTTGTTGGTTTGGAACATTTTTTCCATATATTGGGAATAATAATCCCAACAGACTAATATTTTTCAGAGGGGTTGAAACCACCAACCAGTGTAAATATTTTAATATCTGTTTTCTGTTCCATTTTGTTCATACCCATTATAAGGATTTCCTAGCGAGGTGGGAACCACGACAATATGCCATCTTGCGACCATGGTACTTATTTTTTGTGTTTCCTAAAAAGAGGGTACCACAAACCAATAAAGCATTCAAAATGAAACAGTGTACGATTTTTCGGGTGATTTTAGATCCACACCCCATGAGTTGCAATTTTTGACCCATACTGGCCCATACTCTAGAGTAAGCTAACATAGATGTTGAAAACCCATGGTTTCTATTATCTATAGGAAAATCATCTATAAATGGTAGGTCTTCCACATCTATGTAAACGTTTACCCTAGAGTACCATTTGAGTTGTAAATCGTTTTTGTTTTGTTTGTCTTACGTCATGTGCACATCATATTCATATCAGTGTATTCCAGTTGCTCCCTGGATGCTACCCTGCAGCAATAGCTGGAGATATTCCATGTTTTTCCAAATTATGAAACTCAAAGTCTGCACTCTTTGCCGATGCAAAACTTGGATCCACATCCAGTCGGCTTCGTCAGCGGTTTTCCGGAGGTGTGGTGCTGTACGAACTGCTGAGTTTGGAGTTGCCCTTCAAAGGGAACAACCTGCAGGACGGGTCTGGAGAGAGGTGAGTTGCGGTGCATGTTTTTTTTTTTTTTCCGCAGCTAAGTTGGTCTATAACTAACTACCAAACATGTGGTTTATCGAGGATGTATCTATAGTGAGATAGAGTTATACACCAATTTATAACTTGGACGCCATCTTAATTAAATAAGTGAAGGTATGGTCAATTTCGTGAAAACTTTCAACCCAGAAGATCTGTTGACTTGACCATGAACGCTGGGTCTGTACTCAGGGAAATCGGGTAGTGACCAGCCACTGCAGTTGACCGACAAGCAGAAAACCATGTACTGTTGGTGGCCCCCCACTGGGTGGCTAAGTTGGTTTATAACTCCAAGAACTATGGTTTATGATGGATATATCTATACAATGTGGTGCCCCCTAGTTATGTTTGTTGGTTTATAAGCCCCATTAACTATAGGTATATCTACCATAAACCATAGAATTCAGCCAGTTATATCTCAACTTAGCTATCTAGCGGGCCCCACTTTTGTAGTTTATGGGGTTTAGATTTTCGCTGAGCGCCGCCACAACAAGTATGATCAATTTGGGGATGGACCCCTTCATATACCAGCTGTTTTACTGTGAGCTACCCTCTGGTAAACGTTTACATAGCGAACTGGAAAATTACCATGCTATTAATGGGTAAATAAACGAACTAAAGGTGCCATTTTCAATAGCTATGTAATGAATTTTTCAGATGGTACAGGCGAATAATCATCCCGTATGAATAATACACCTACATACACGGTTGCCCAGTATTTTGTCAGTGCACGCATTTTCTTTTGTGATGTATCAAAATGGTGGAGTATACTTTACTGCTGCAGATTACCGTTCTTTGAGGTTCATCTTAGATTTCCTCGGTGTACATCTGCCCTGGATTCTAGGATAACATGAATCACTACAAATCGGGGAATTGCCCGGACAAAGGTTAATCTGTTTGCAGGCGACTTGGTGGTACATCTTACTTAGGAAGTAAGATACTTAAAAAGTATAAGGTTTAAGGAGGTTTGTATTTGCTACGTGGGAACAACCTAAGTAGGGAAGATTACAAGAGCCATGAACAAGCGATTTGCTTTGCCCTTGGTCTTCACCAATCCAGAGGTGAAGACCCACCATGGCACCAGCCCCATCATAGCTGAGTGTGTCATGGTATGTATATATATATACACACCCTCTGGTAAACTAACAAAACTAAAATCACCATTTTTAATGGGTAAATCAACGATAAATGACAATTTTCAATAGCAAACTGTTAGTTTACCAGAGGGTAATCATCTTTGTCGGTTACCCATCCGCCGCCTTTTTTTGGTTGATAGCATAGGAGGCTTTCACGATATCTATTAGTGGCCATTTCAGGAATCCAAATTGGAGGTACCTACCATATATAAGGCCTATATAAGGCCTATGTAAGGGAATATCCCTAGAAAGTATGACCTTATATGGTACAGTACCTCCATTTTAGGATCCTGAAATTCCCATTGAATCTATGAATCGTCATGTGTGAAATTTTCCACATTTTGGCTGCTGAAATCTCCGACTCCATTGAACTCCCACATTTCAAGAAGTCAAAGATCCATTCAAATCCATCAAGATCCTATTCTGGTTGGTGGTTTCAAACATGTTTTATTTTTCCCATCATATTGGGAATAATGATCCCAATTGACTTTCATATTTTTCAGAGGGGTGGCTCAACCACCAACCAGTATTTAAACTTCATTCAATTCCATCAGAAATCCCATGGAAAATCCATCTGAATTTCAGATTCCAGTAAATTCCATTCGAACACCATTTATAGATCCCTTACAAAAATCCTTTCAAAAAACACATGAAATCACATCAAATCCGAAAAAAATCACATCAAATCACCATTTTTCCCACGTCAACTTCCGGATCTCCGCGCATTTTCGCAGCGTTTCGCCTTCACGGCGGACGTGGGCCTCGCGCCGCGCCAGGACATCGTCTCGCAGGTGCTCTCGGGGCGCTACGCGCCGCTGCCCGCCTTCCGGGGTGCCGAGCTTGCCGAGGCCGCGAAGCGTTCAGTTGCCTTAAAAGTGGCTGAATTAACTATGGTTTATAGTAGATATTAGTTAATGGGGTTCATAAACCAACTTATAAATGGGGGGCACCACTTTGTAAGTGATGACATGCGATGAGTAGTATACATAAATCACCATTAAATCCCATTAAATCACCATGAAATCCCATTAAACAACCATTGAATCCCATTAAATCGCCATTAAATCCCATTAAACCACCATTGAATCCCATTAAATCACCATTGAAACCCATCAAATCACCATTAAATCCCATTAAATCACCATTGAATCCCATTAAATCACCATTAGATCCCATTAAATCACCATGAAATCCCATTAAATCACCATTAAATCCCATTCAATCACATTAAATCCCATTAAACCACCATTAAATCCCATTAAATCACCATTAAATCCCATTCAATCACAATTAAATCCCATTAAATCACAATTAAATCCCATTAAACAACCATTGATACCCATTAAATCACAATTGAATCCCATTAAATCACCATTGAAACCGTAACCCATTAAATCACCATTAAATCCCATTAAAGCACCATTAAATCACCATTAAATCCCATTAAATCACCATTGAAATCCCATTAAATCACCATTAAATCCCATTAAATCACCGTTAAATCCCATTAAATCACAATTAAATCCCATTAAATCACCATTGAAACCCATCAAATCACCATTAAATCCCATTCAATCGCCAATGATCACCAAGTATATTTCGGATGCACAAATCCCAGTACTATATCCACCATAAACCCAGCAATCAGCCTTAGTAATACCATGTAATGTGTGTCAACACCTCGCTATCATAAAACCAGCTATAAATCCCAGTACATTCCATTTTTTCTTGGTTAAATTCACATCTTTTTCATGGTTTTCAATGGTCCTATGCTTTTCCTATGGTTTTCTGGCATTTTCCTATGCTTTTCCTATGGTTTTCGTATGGTTTGCGGCATTTTCCTATGCTTTTCCTATGCTTTTCGTATAGCTTCTGCCGGAAGTCGCCAACATCTTCCATGGCGGTGGCAGGCGGTGCAGTCTTTGCTGACGCGCGACATGCGGCAGCGGCCCAGTGCCGAGATGCTCCTGCAGCGCTTGGAGACGCTTGGATAAATCATTGATTGTAGGTTAGAAATACTTAATGAATGGTTTCAAGAATCTCAGAGCTAATCATTGATTTAGTAAAACTATTGATTATTGTTAATGGTTTTAGTTTATGAAACATAATAATTAGTTTCAACAATAGTTAATGACCATAATAGTTAATACAGCATTAATGGCCTTTTAGTTTAGTCAGGTAATGGATTCAGCCGCCATGAAATATATAACTATATGGGATTATCTACAATGTGGCCCCCCCGGGCGATAGCTAAGTTGGTGAACATAACTCCAATAACATCCAATAACATCCAATAACTATAGTTTGTGATTCTTATAACTATAATTAGCAGGGTTTCTAAACCAACTTATGTAGGTTAAGAATAGTTATTTAATGAATGAATGCTGTAACAATAGTTAATGGTTATTGAATAATAGTTACAGTAACAATATATGAAACAATAATGGTTGATAGTTACTAATAGTCAATAATTTAATATATAATGAATGGGTTCAATTAGCAAAAAATAATAGTTAATAACCATAAGAACAATGCATTTGAATAATAGTTTATTTTAACTTTTGATTTATTATAGCTATTGATTATTGTTAATGGTCTCAATTTATAAACCATAGTAGTTAATAAGCCATTCGTATTATGTATTAAATCATCTATGAGACCATTTATAGCATAATAGTTAATGTATAATTGGTTAATACCAGTCATTCACCTATCTATGAACAAATCAATCGGTTCCACTTCACCATACTTTACCCAGAGCAATTCGGACTGTCAATGGGAATTTCAGGATCTTAAAATGGAGGTACTGTACCATATAAGGCCATATTTTGTGGGGATATTCCCTTGCATAGCCCTTACATAGGCCTTATATATGGTAGGTACCTCCAATCAATCGGTTCCTGAGCCATGGCCGTTGAGACTGCTGGTTATGACAGAGAGGTGTTAACTCACCAAAATGCTGGGTTTTTCAAGGCTTCAACTCACCATACCTCTGGGTGAGAAATCGATAGTGATGGGTGATTTTCAAGGGTTCAACAGTTGGACATGGGCTTTTTAATGGGATTTGACCAAGAAACATGGTGATTTATTGGGATTTAATGGGATTTACCCTCTGGTAAACATACAAAAAACTGTGGAACATCACCATGTTTAATGGGTTTTTATCAACTATTTCGACTGGGCCATGGCTTCAATAGCTATCTAAGAAATTACCAGAGGGTAGATTCTAGTGAATTATGATTAGTAACAGTAGGGGGAAACCTATCCCAATTGTTGGTGAGTTTCTACGTACCAATGATTATACCATTAAGGATTCGGGGTAACTTTCCCGAATCCATTAATCCTGATGCTAATTGATTGTACCATGAAGGTTTTTGAGTCACTATGTGTAATAGTTTTTCTGTAGTAGTTTTATATTATTGTGACACATAATGTAATAAATTGTGCAATTGAATATAGTGTAATGTACTACCATGAAGGTATGATGTAACAGTTATATGCTAATTGAAATGTCATTATGATTGTGAATACCATTGATGAATATGAATTATGGTTTCTGGTTAATATCATGGGGCTTTATAAACCAACTTATAACTGGGGCATCACTTTGCAAGAACAGGGCTTGAAGGTATATGAACCATTTATCATGAGGATTTGATGGGAATATCTAATGGGATATGATTACGGTGCATAACTGTTGATTAAGCATGATCTAAAAAAAAAAGATTTTTCATGGGGATATCTAGATGAATATTTTCACAAAAATTAATGAGTTCGTCATTTTGGGCTTACTTGGCGGGACTTAATGGGATTTATAGGAGTTGTAAACTATAGTTTTAACTATAGTTTTAAGCATCAACGATATCGAGATTTAAATGCATAGAATTTCTAGAATTGATAAGTTATTGTTGGTTGATGATTGCTTTTTCGCAGTAGATTTTTTTTCGGTGATCCATTCGGAGAAATCCAGTGAACTGTCCGCGAAGACATTTTGAGTGAGTTGTCACCAAGCATAAGTGGAAATCTAAGCAAGTAAAACTGTTGATTTCATTGGGTTTAATGCCACTGACAGTGCTTTTAACCACTGGTGATTTAATGGGAATTATAACATATTATACGTAACCACATACAACACGTTTTTGTTTCACAGTCAATGACCAGTTCGGTGAGTGCTGGGACCAGTTCGCAAAATCCATGGGGTTCCCGTTGGGTTCCCATATGAGGGTACTCCAACTGGGCTATATCCCAGGCAAGGGTGACCTCAGGAGGTTGTTAATTTAACAAAAATCCATAGGAAAATCATAGGAAAACCATGGGAAAATGGGCATTTCATGGGATTTATAGCTGATTTATGATAGCTATTGAAAATGGCCTAGTAGAAATAGTTGATAAAAACCCATTGAAACTGGTGATTTTCCATAGTTTTTTGTATGTTTACCAGAGGGTGCCTGGGAGAACTTGCGCACTTGGCATTTTGCCATGGCTGTTCTCTGTTTGCCGTAGAAACCCAGGGGACCTGCACAGCTGTGTGACCTGCTTAACTATATAAAACTATAGATATCATCTGGGTCAACCTTTGTTAGATACTTTAGTACTTTAATACTGCGCTATCAATGGTAAAAATTATACTGAGCAGTACTGAGCAGCTCAAAAAATTAGATTTGGTTTACTATAACAACATATCAATAGAATCAATACATATCAGAATTATATTGAATTATAATTATAGGGGATATCATGAACTAGTTAAGCGGTAAAGCTAAACCAACAAATATCACCGACCAGCAACTGACATGGTGATTTTTGGCAGTCAACCATCGCTTCCTTCTTAGGTTAAAGCCTCCATATGCATATGCATCCATATTCATCCATATGCTACAGCCTGAAACCTCCAAATTCAATTGAAGTAATCGTTTGATCGTGTTCAGTCATGCCACCAGCCACCATGTCCTGCCAATGTATTGGCCCCTGCGATTGTAACACCGAGCGAACACGAAGATCAAAGAGCTCCGAAGCGAACTCAAAAAGGTCCACAAAAGTACTGAGGGCGGCAAAATCGTTTATCACGCCGAGAAGAGCTGAACTTGAAACTGATATAACTGATCGAACGACTGAAACAGCGAAAAGGGACATTCGCAAAGAATCTGAGCGGTGTGCGCAAAGGAGTTGCAGAGGATTCAGAGTTTACCTTTCTTTTTTGCTGATGGTAGCAGCATCCGCCATTTGCATTCGTGCCTAAACTCTGGCTTGCTTCTTGAACTTCAGCAGGCTTTGAAGATCTTTGAAGCCTTCCCATCAGGACTTTTGCATCAAAGCCCATCAGCGCGCAGTTTCAGGATGTACTTTATTGTGTTTCTTGGTCATAATATGTCATAATTTCCAAGAAGTGCAAAAAAAAGCGAAAAAAACGGAAAACTGACAATATTTTCATGTATATGAATAATTACCAATAAATATATATATATACGTTTCCCACAATCCCGTCCAACAACCTCTCTCAGAACGCTCGTTTTCCCCAGGAAGCTGGGCAAGATCCGGCGGCAAAAGGTGGAAGAGCTGTCACTGGGACCAGCAGAAATACGGCGACTTTATATGGGTTTTAAAGGGGTGCAGAATTGAGTGTAACTAGCAACCAACCACCAATATATGGTATGACATGATATAATTAAATGATATATGATATAGGTTGAACCACGAAGCATTAAGAAAATGATGATTGAAACAACAAACATTATGGTCATCTAATGTGGTATATGTATTTCATGGCGATATACCACCAAAAAATCTGATATTTGGGTTTGTCTGAAAATGTGGTACCCCTCAGAATTTGTTTATGGTCATTGGAGAGGCATACTCCAGTTTTCAGACCCATTGCAGGCATAGACGGTAGGATCTTCCACTAGAGGGTTAGTGATATGCTTTGTCTATGAGAATAAGGACTTTACCATCACTTAAATGCTCAACATGCGGATATCATTGATGATTGATACTTGATTAATGGTTGATAAGTCGATACCCTGGGTTGACCTGAAACGAATATTAGCCAACAATGAAATTAGCCAACAATGCATGTGTTGTATGGGTATAAATACCCACCTGGTTGTTGTTGTTGTTGCTGTTGCTGCTGTTGCTGTTGCTGTTGCTGTGGTTGTCGTTGTTGTCGTTGTTGTCGTTGTCGTTGTGGTTGTTGTTGTTGTTGTTGTCGTCGTTGTCGTTGTTGTCGTTGTTGTTGTTGTTGTTAATGTTTTGTTTTGCTATTATAATTGTGGTGTTGAATGACTGAACATGGGGATGTCATAGATCATGTTTGGTTTATGGATGATTCACTAGCTTGCCCATCACATCCCATCACACATTGTGATTCGACAATTACCCTCTGGTTATGTCAAAATAGCTATTGAGAATGGTGATTTATAGTGGATTTACCCATTGAACATTGTGATTTTTGTTGATAGTTATGTTACCAGAGGGTAAATATGATTGTAAGAACATAGGTGGGGAAACCGTGGAATATCGATGGAATATCGAGCAAACCAAGCGAAAACTCGCATGGTTTTCACCACCTTCGTCCAACGACGTGCTTCCCGGCCTTGCCGGCACCGGCGAGGCCAAAGAAGGTCGAAACACCACCTGACAAGGACTGGATCATCCATTGGGGATCAACCACTGACGGCACTGATGGGACGATCCGATCAGGGTAATGGTACTACAGGTCCGCAACAGCATTTCCTGGGAATTTTCGGACTGTGAAATATTTATTAGTTAAGAACTGGAAGAATGAACATATCTAATATTTTTAATTGGTCATCTATGTCGTTCTATAAGAAAAAAGAGATGTATGTTTAAATTACTACTGTAACTTACCAGAGGGCACCTGATGTTTCTCCCTGAATGTGTCTGAAAAGAACATGGTTTGGGGTTTCCGCCATTGAAAGCGTAGTTCTGCGGTGAGTTTAGACCAAACGTGATATTTTTTTTGCTCAACGTCGGAATCCCAAAGAAAAGGAAAAGGTTGGCCGACCAAACTGTTTGATTCATTTGAATCTTGTTGAGTCATATCCCACATGCTCCATGTGTGGAATATTTACCAACATTTGTCGAACAAAATCACCCAGTCATGTAGGTCATTATACCAGCACCATGGAGCATCTGGGTATTGATTCATGTTGATTCCATGATGCAGACTGTACCGGAAACTATTTTTATGTTTAATTTTGTTGATGTTTGTTGGCGAGGTGTCTTGTGCCTATATAGTTTCACTCTAATTATATATATATGGGGGTTTCTTAAATGAAGGTACCCAACAATGGATGGTTTATAATGGAAAATCCTATTGAAATGGATGATTTTTGGGTTACCGCCAATTCAGGAAACCTCCATATTATATTTTTATATATATACAGTAAATAGTAGTTGGTCAAATGGTCGCAAGATGTCGCAAGTATGGCTCGAGATCATTGTACTGAGAGCAATTCGTTGACAATAGTTTGGATTGGAGTTTACCTTTGATCTTTCCTGGAATGCTTCGAGTTAACATATCGTTCCCGAGTGGTTCTGGGAAAACTCTTCTACTCCCTGAACACTCCAAAGTAGGGGACTTGAAGCTTTTGGCCCAAAAAACTTTGGGCAAGAGCTTCCTGAAACTGGTCTGTGCGGATGGACATGTCCTGTCTAACCCCGAGGAATCTTTGCAAGCTGCAGGAGTACAAGAAGGACACGACTTGATGGCTGTAGTGCAGCAAAGCCAAATAGCTGCTTCTCACAGATCATTTGCTTTGTGGTGCTGTGGAGGCAACAGAGTGGCTGCCTGGGGTGATCCACGCCGTGGTGGTGACTGCTCGGCAGTTCAGGATCAGCTGAGGAATGTGCAACAATTGCAGGCCACAGCAGATGGCGCATATGCTGCGATCTTGGTCGATGGATCCGTGGTTGCCTGGGGCCATCCAGAGTGGGGTGGCAACTGCTGCGTTGTTCAAGATCAGCTTAGGGATGTGCAGGAAATTCAGGCCACAAGTAGGGCATTTGCCGCAATCTTGGCCGATGGATCCATAGTTACCTGGGGCTATCCACGCCGGGGTGGTGACTGCTCGGCAGTTCAAGATCAGCTGAGGAATGTGCAGCAGATTCAGGCGACAAGTGGCGCTTTTGCTGCGATCTTGGCCGATGGATCAGTAGTCAGCTGGGGCGATCCAGACCGTGGTGCTGACTGCTCTGCAGTGCGAGATCAGCTCAAGCAAGTGCAACAAATTCAGGCTACAGCTTTTGCATTTGCTGCGATCTTGGTCGATGGATCCGTAGTTGCCTGGGGCAATCCAGGCTGGGGTGGCAACTGCTGCGTTGTTCAAGATCAGCTTAGGGATGTGCAGGAAATTCAAGCCACAAATAGGGCATTTGCCGCCATCTTGGCCGATGGATCCGTGGTTGCTTGGGGCGATCCAAACAGCGGTGGCGATTGCTCCGCAGTTCAGGATCAGCTGAGGAATGTCAAGCAAATTCAGGCCACAAAATCGGCCTTTGCCGTGGTTTTGGCCTGTGGATCCGTGGTTGCCTGGGGCGATTCAGGTCGCGGTGGTGATTGCTCAGTAGTGCAAGATCAGCTGAGGAATGTGCAGCAAATTCAGGCCACAGCAAATGGCGCATTTGCGGCGATCTTGGTCGATGGATCCGTGGTTGCTTGGGGGGATGGTGGCGACTGCTCAGCAGTTCGAGATCAGCTGAGACATGTTCAACAAATTCAGGGCACATATGCGGCTTTTGCCGCCGTCTTGGTCGATGGATCTGTAGTTGCATGGGGCCATCCAGACTGGGGTGGTGACTGCTCCGCAGTTCAAGATCAACTGAGGGATGTGCAGGAAATTCAAGCCACAACTAGGGCATTTGCGGCGATCTTGGCCGATGGATCCGTGGTTGCCTGGGGTCCGTCAGCTTACGGCGGTGACTACTCAAAAGTTCAGGATGAGCTCCAATATTTGTAGGCATTGGCTGTCAAGAAGCGTCTGAAGCATCTGCAGTGTGCTTCATGTTGAAGGAGTACACGGTGTGATGTCCAGTGGGGTCGCTCATCCTATAATGATCCTAATGAGATCCGAACAATGTGCCCTGATTTTTCGGGTCAAAAGACTGGCTTGTTCGACCACTACCATGTGGCCGCCCAGACCGCCGTCAGCTCAGCTTGTTAAGATAAGAATTGTAGGTTAACCATGGTTAACCAGGGTTTATGTTTATTTTCTAGCCATAGTTGGATGGGTATATAATATAATATAATATGATATAACATAATATAATATAATTTTATATTATATTATATTATGTTATTTTATATTATATCATATTATAATATATCATATATATATCATATATATATTTTAATATACATTATAATATATATATATATACATATGTGTATACACACCAATTTGTAACATATTAACATCTTGTAACTGGGGAAGTATGCCCTTGTAGAGTGAGTCATGGCTCCAGCCATGAGTGGAGCCTTTAACTGGTTGGATCCGTAGGGCTAAATCCATTTTTTTCTATGGTGAAAGCCTTAAATCTCCGGCTGGTGGTTTGGAACATGTTTCATTTTTCCATATATTGGGAATAATAATCCCAACTGATTAATATTTTTCAGAGGGGTTGAAACCACCAACCAGTTAAGCTCTTGTCAAATCCGTAGAATCCTTACCCGTACCCAAAACACTAGTTTTGAAATTGCATCAAATTGTGGAATGTTTCGTTGGCTTTTCCCTGAGTTGTACCATAAAACGCGACATTGGGAAGCCCACCCGAGCACCCTCATAGTTATATACTCAATTGGTATAAATAACTATTGAACCGCATTAAAGCACTATGTTTGCATATTTTTGCTCATTAAATCTCACATTTGTAGCTACATACCGGGTCCTTCAGAAGAAACAGCCATCCTGTCAAACTCATTGCGAAGAAACTTGCATACCCCCTTTCCCCCAGTTCAATGTTGTTATATCGCTTTGCTTGGAAAGGCCTTCAAAAAAACAGCCATTTCGGTTCGGATGCCGGCATGCATTGGGCAACAACATTGATCAAGGGGGCACGGGGGATCAGGTGTGATATGACCACATGTAGGAGGATGGCTGTTTTTTTTGAAGAACTCGGTATTCCCATAGTATCCTACCCAGATGCTCCATGTATGGTATATTTACCTACATTTGGGTGATGTTTGGGGTACATGTTGATACATATTCCAGAACCACGGAGCATTTGGGTGGAAACCAAGATATAATAACCATAACTCCAAAAAATACTGTATACACACTACAGCTCCAGACACCGAGACTGAGACTGTATTTGAAGGGGTTTAACTTGGGGGTCTGTTTACACCTTCTCAGAGGGTATTTGGAGCACTAGGGACAGTTATATGTATATATATATATATAGGACAGTCGGACAGTTACATATATATATATACATACACATAAACATATTTTTTAACTACTTATTAGTGAGACTGCCCAAGTACAGCCCCAGTTTTACCGACCTTTCACCTGACCTCTGGCCGACTAATGCCGCGGCTGCGCGTGCAAGCTGCGCATTCGCTAGGAGAACCGTTCCCCACCTAGCGAAGAGCAGGTGGGGCAGGGACCAAAAATGGGGAGGTACAATGCGGGGACCCCAAGATAGCTAAAATGGTTTATAAGCCCTATTAACCATAGTTATAAGTACCATAAACCATAGTTAACCTAGTTATGTTCACCAACTTAGCTATGTAGGGGGGGCCACTTTGTAGAACCATGGGTTTTTGACTTGGGTTTATGGTAGATCTATCTATGGTTAAAATTGTTAAATATTGGCAAATATTGATAGATGTATGGGTCAACATGGGTCAATATTGGTTAATGGGTTGTTTTATTTTAACATTTTGACAACATACGAATAAGTACGAATAACTGAGGGTGTATGAGGGATATGACAGTACTTGAGGGTGTAGTTGGGGATATGAATGGGTATAACTCCGTTAGGTGACAGGATGCCTCATAAGTTTGGAAAAAATAACTGGAAGTGCAATTCCAAGAAGAAGATGATGATTTAATGGGGCAGTGTCAAAAAGCCATTGGTTTATTGTTGATATAATCTAGGTCTTAGATAGTGTGATCCTTTAGTCTTTCGGTATCAATGGGATTATCTACTAACCAACTACTGTAAGTTTTTTTTTGCATGATATCTAAAATTGGCACTGTAATGGTCATTAAAGGGAATCTTTAATGGAATATGAATGGGATTCAACCAACAAGCGATGTCAAGAAACCCATTGGTCGTCAAAGTCGATGTTAAAATTTAACCTGTTGAAAAGGGATCAGCAAATAACTCACTATTACATGTGGAACATGTTAGAATTCACTATCCACAAATAATATCCACATGGTTTACCTATTGGAAGAGCTACAAAGAAAGTAGTAGAACCAGTTATGCAGGGTCCACTAAAACAACTACTACAACTTTGAACTGGCTTCCAGCCACCGTCTTCGCCGAAGCCATGGGTAAGGAGATGACGCAAAAGGATTGGGAGGACCAGGTGAAGAGCTTCAGGAAGTATGAGGCGGTGAAGTTACTGGCTAAAGGAGGAATGGGAGCAGCCTTCCGGGTCACTAGTCGGCGGGACTTCAGCGACCGAGCCTTGAAATTGGCTCTTGGGGAGCGTGAGGAGTACCTTGAGGAGGAGGGGGGGCACCCCAAATCATCCAAGCCATGGATGACCATTTTTCTTGGATAAATCATATGATAAAATCAGCATGTGAAATCCCAATTAAATGGAGATTTCCAATCCATGGGGGTACCCGAATTCATCATCCAAGTATTGAATCCCCTCAGCCAAGAAATCCTTCCTGGTTGGGGAGCGATGAAACAATGCCATGTCCTGGAGGAAGATCTAGGAACCACGAGTTTCCGGGGCCAGTTTGGAGTGATGTTTTTCAGAGTGGGTAAACACTTGAGCTATGAACATTTTATACCCTGAGTGGTTGCTTAGTATAGGGAGTTACATCACCTAATTTCTTGGTGATTATGATAATCCATAGTAGGGAAACGACCTATCAACAAACTAGTATTATGGAATGACAGGGGATTTGGAACGCTGCTCACTTATAAAATGATGGGTTAAGGATTTTGATGGTTGATGACATCGAAGGCCACGGATGAATCGTGGTGGTTTTCGGAATTCCTTGGGGGCACACGCAGCAATACTATTACCCTCTGGTTATGTCAAAATAGCTACTGAAAATGGCCATAGAAATAGTGGATTTTCCCATTAAAAATGGTGATTTTCCATAGTTATGTTAGTTTACCAGAGGGTACCAGTACAGAAAAAACAGGGAGTATGCTGTCGGTGCGACAGACCAATGAACATAGAGACGCTTGTTCAACAATGCTTGCATTTTATGTCCATCTCATCTCCGTAGTTAAATCCCCAATGTTCGCATCTTGGCAAATTTCCCCTTAACAGATCAAACCCACACAACCATCAACATGTAATTATTGGATCATATTATCATATTGGATCTATGTTTGTTGATGTCATGTGAAATCCCACCTGGACCCTTTGGTAAACTAATATATCTATGGAAATTCACAATCTTTAATAGGTAAATCAACTATAAATGAGCCATTTTCAATAGCTATGTTAAATCAGCTATAAATCCCATGAAATGCCCATTTTCCTATGGTTTTCCTATGAATTTCCTGTGGTTTTTGTTAATTTACCAGAGGGTATTGAACGACTTCCGCACTGGCAACGTCAACTCCTGCTCCACAGGTGGTCAGGGTTCGGAGAAGACCCACCTCTGCACCACAGGCGCAGCCTCAACCATTACGCCTGCCTTTCAAGCGAAAATTACTTTAAATAGTGATTGACCCTCTGGTTATTTAACCTAGCCATGGTATAGATCCCCCAAATAAATGGAGGTTTATAGTTGGGAAAATCGTCTATAAATGGGCCATGGTTTCCATGGCTATGTTAAATAACCAGATGGTAGTGATTGAAAATTATATCTGATTAGATATTAGTCTGTTGGTTACAAAACACTCTTAACATCCATGAACCATAGATATTGAGAAAAATTGTACCATTCAACATGCCCATGGCTCGTTGTTTGGCAATTTCCCAGCGGCCATGTTTTACATGACACCCTTGCGAGCGGGTTGAGCCAGTTGTTGGAGTTCAGGCACGATCTGACACAGACCATTCAGAACAAACATAACTTGGATTTATCATGAACATATCTATAGTTAATGGATTTAATGGGTGTTAATGGTTAATGGTTTATGGTATATGGATATGGTTTTTCTGGATGTTAACATAACTTGGGTTTATGGTGCAATGCGGGGCCCCGTTTACGATAGCGTTCAGTTGGTGAACAAAACTCCAATTTCACTATGGTTTATGATACTTATTACTACAGTTAATATATGTTAATATTATAAGTAGTATAGTTTTGTATACTAACATAGTTAGTAATGTATCATACACCACAATATTATTTCTATGGTTAGTATAGTTAGTAGGGTTTATAAACCAATAAACTAATCACGTTTGGGGGCCCCACATGGTGGACATATCTATGGTCACATATAACTTGACCATACATATTGGGAGTAGAACCCATGGTTTTTGACTTGGGTTTATGGTAGATATATCTAATGGTTAATGGATGTTAATGATTGTGAAAATGGGTGTTTTCTAACCAACAGACTAAGAACTTACCACTTATAACTTACAACTTAGAATTAGGACAGCACTTGAGGGTGCAGTTGGGGATATGAATTGATATCACCAAGGTCATATGGGTATGGGTCACCATTTTTTATTGCAATATGTTGGGGAATAACCATCCATTAATCTATGACTGTACCTAGGACACGTTATGCGGTTTGACCCATGAGAATATTCTATAAGTTGGGAGCATGATATACGCACTGTAACTATGGTTATCTATCCACTTATAAGTGGAACTGCAGCCCCAAGTAAGCATTCTCAGCTTCTACTATGGGATTGCATTCCAAAGAAGTAGACATTTTGGACTACTGAGACAGAAAACATTTAGAGCTGGTACAGGTCCAGGATGGGGGCTTAACTATGGTTTGTGGTAGATATACTGTAACTATAGTATTCATTGGGTTTATAAACCAACGTTCACATCACTGGGGGGCACCATCCTGTATCGGTCAGAATGTTCACCGTTCACCTCCGAAAATGGATGGTTCAATACTGACCAAATTTCTCGGTCGGTTCTGCAAGGTTGGTTCAAGGTTGTTACCTAGAAAATCGATGGTTCAATACCATGCCCTTTGGGCATGATTCCAGTGGGGAGTGGAATCACGCTGCTAGAGTTTCGAAAAATCGCCAGTTCTACAAGATGTCGCCAGTTATAGGTTCCCATTTGATCCTGATGTGTTCAGCCCATGAGGTGCGACCCAAAGTGCAGACGCCTTACCCTGGAGGTTCCGTTCAGAAACTGGGAGATGTGGTGACAGTTGAGAGGTGACAGTTGAAACTGGTTGATGATTGTGTTCTGTGTTACCCTCTGGTTATTTAACAGTTTGCCATGGAAAATCCCCATTTTTAAGAACTGTAAACCATCTATTTCTATGGGCCATCTATACCATGGCTATGTTAGTCATAACCAGAGGGTATGACTCAACCAGGAATTTAGACGTGATTTCTATATCCTCAAGCCTGGTTTCGTAGGTATTTAGTGAATTTTAGTGGCCATATGACTCAAGTGTTATGATTTGCTTATCAACATTGTTCAATTATCAATCATTTTTTTTCGGATCAACTCTCGTTGATTAGTTGCTTTATCAGTGATTTAACCATAATTGACAAGTGATGGGTTGCTAGTTCATCATACAAGCTGGTGGCCCCAGTTCTCTTTGTTTGGTGTATAAATTAACCTGACTATGTATAGATAAACATAATTGTTCAATCACTATAAACTATGGCAACTATGGTGAACCTAAAGTTATGAACCAACATAGCTAAGTAACTAATGGGGCACTACCTTAAAGTACTGAAGAAACAATGATAAGAATCAACCATCACAATGTTTTTCAATAGTCCTTGTGGTGAGTAAGCAATAAAAATAAGCTGTTAGGTTCTTAGTATATGTTCCAAATTCATCCAAATTCAAGAAAAATTGGGTAGGGCGAAGAATTGTGAGGATATCAACAAGGTGGTGCCCCCCAAGTTATGTTTGTTGGTTTATAATCCCATTAACTAGTTCGATATATCTACCATAAGTCTAAACGTGAAATTAGAGTTATGTTCACCAACTTAGCTATCGACCGGGGGCACCACCTTGAAGGATATCAGGGCAATAAGCAACAATAAGTGCTGATTTTGTGAGTGACCTAATCCCGTAGAAAAGAAATTCTCACCTACAAAAAGGTGCTTGTTGTTCCCATAATTTCAGTACTTCTACCATGTGTTTTCAGGGGTATTTGCAGGGTCTAGGTCCAGGTAGATGTAATATGAATAATTATCCACTATATAATATAGATTATTACAAATTATAGTATCTTAGAGATAAGGGGACAATAGTGGACATACATCACTCGCGGGCCTACTGTAACTTGGGGGATTTCACCCAGCAGATCACCAGGGTAAGTCGCATGGTCTGTATATATGGAGAGGCGTGATACCGAAGCAACTCAAAAACTCAAGTGTTTGGTATAGGGTATTTACAATGTGGGGCCCCGTTTACGATAGCGTTCAGTTGGTGAACATAACTCCAGTAACTATGATTTATGGTACGCAAATAACCATAGTATTCATGGGGTTTACAAATCAATATATGACGTTTGGGGGCCCCACATTGTAGGATGATCCCAGAACTGTGTCGAATTGCTGAGTGACAGGGTGCTTTCACTTCGAAGATGTTTTTGGGGCGAGATATATACCCCAGTTCCTACCACCCCCATAGTTGTAGCTAAGTTGGCTTATAAATCCAATAACTCGGGTTTATGAGACATATATCATCATGTGGGGAGGTTTCCTAAAATAGGGCTACCCCCAAATCATCCACTTCTAGATGGGATTTTCCATTATAAGCCATCCATTTTGGGGTACCTCCATTTTGGGGAACCCCCACATATCTGTAGTTTTCTTTTGTATGGGTGTGATAAAGCAACGTTCACGTCACTTGGCACCACCTTGTAACAACAACTCGCCCCGGCGATCGTTCCGGTATGACAATGTCAAGCGGCTGTTGAGGAAGTCGGTCGTTTTTAACACGGCCACCTGGGTGTATCAACCAACCTATGACTATTTATATATCTATATATTCACATACATATAGGTATCTATAGATGATAGGTGTATCATATATATATATATGCCCAGATTGCTTTATTGATTTCCGGTTGACAAGTAAGGAGCTTCTGCTGATCCGCCAGGTTTAGAAAGGGTAATTCCTCCTAGCTTGGACGGTGATCCAAGAGCCAACTCTTTCACAACGACCTCAATGAACCTGAAACCGACTTAGCTCACTAAAAATCCCATTAAATCCAATTCACCATTAAATCAACATTATAGATCCCATCAATAACCCCACTGAATCATTTTTTCATCCGAAAAATCCCGCGACAAATCAGCTGAAAATCATGAAATCACCAACGAAATCCCACTAAAAAAACCATGCCTTGCCATCAGACCTCGTTCCCCCGGACGACGCCGGCAACGGTGGCGTGAAGCCGGCCGCGGGACGACGGGAGGAGCGCTGGGAGCAGCGCCGACAGGCGGGGGTCCACGGGGCCGCTTGGCGGTGCCGAAACATGGTTTGATTTAAGGGAATTTCATGGGATTTTAGTGAGTTTCTATAGGATCTTGAAGTTTTAATTGTGATTTATAGGGTGTCTATAGGATTTTGAAGATCTTGTAGGATTTCATAGGATTTAAGAATGGACTTCAGGGTGATTTGACAAACCAAAATGGTGATTGAATGGGATTGAACGGGGTATTTGATGGAATACCCTCTGGTAATCAAACGTGGCTAGCCGGGAAATCATGTCTAAATGATGGTTTTAACATGTTTATAGCTGGGAAACATGATCTATAAAAAGGGTGATTTTCCATGCCATGTTTGATTACCTGAGGGCAAACAAAGGATTGATGCAGATAGTGGGAACAAAAATCAATCATTTACTTGAGGACTCAATGGTGTTTTGATGGTGATTCCATTGCAACTATTTAGGGATATACTGAGGTGACTTGGGTTATAATAAGGTATGTCCATTTGGTTAAAACAATCAGGGGATTCTATCACGTCAAGCTTTTCGTTTGCTTTTCATTCAGGTTTCTGAAGAGGAGGATAATAGAAGATATTAAAACCACATTAAAGTCATCAAAAAAATCTTGAATTTGGCTTCCTAGAGGGATTCCGGTGTTATAACAATAGAACATATTCAGGCGAGTTTCAGTATCGTTTTGGCATCGGGACTTTGGTGGATGAAGTCAAGAGGCTTTTGGTGGGCTTGTAGCAGGGGATTATATGGCTTACGTGGGGATTATAATGCTGTATAATCATGGGGATGATGGATTGTGAATACCATTTTATGATTATTAATTTAAAAACTATAATTCTGGTTCTTGGGGATTATGGATTACATATGATTAAATGGTACAGAAATGGCACCCCCTGTAACCATTTTTTTTTAATGGGCTTATAGCTAGCTGGGATAGTCCAAAGCCGCGCCCCGACAAATAATTCCCAAATATTTCGAATACTTGAAACTTATATTAAATAGCATAATTTAATATAGTATGATGATATATATATATAAATACATTTTATTAATACAGTTAGTTATATAACATTGTACTGTATAATGTTTATATAATTATGTAATTTGATATAATGTAATATATGTTTACATAGTTGATTATACTATAATAAAATATAGTATAGTATAGTTTGGTATGGTATGATATAGCATATCATAGCGAGTATATAGTAGTATACTATGGTATAGTATGGTACAGTATAACACAATATTACATAACATAACATCATATCATAGTTCCTTGATCTCTGGAGTATGTGGACCCACTAGGTGATGCTTTAGGATAAACGTTGACATCAAACCCATGGTGGGTTTTCCACTGTAAACGTTTAAAAAGGAGAGTAATCTTAAAAAAGTGATAAACCAAACCAAACAAACTATAGTGAACTTGCATGAACGTGCAGGGTGTGTAAGATTTAAGCCATGGTTTGGAATTTCATTGGCCATTTTTTATGTCCACCGGGTCGACCGGGTCGACCGGTCATTTGACACGCTAAGCCGCTAGGCGCACGTGCCACAGCTGTCAGGGCCTCGGTGGATGCTCCCCACACCTGGGTTGCAAAACAGCAACAAAAAAAAAAGCAAGGAATCTACAATGGCCATGTCAACTTTGAATTACCCTCTGGTAAACTAACAGTTCGCGAACTGGAAAATCACCATGTTTAATGGGTAAATCAACTATAAAAGGACCATTTTCAATAGCTATGTTAAATTACCAGAGGGTAATTACTTGGGAAATTGCGATAATGTGGGAAAAACAATGTCATACACCACCCATGATTGGGAATGGTTCATACCACCTATGAAAATGGTGATGACTGGGGGATGGTTTATTAGTGTTTTACCCACAAAATCGAACTGAATTCAAACAACAAAGATGATATGCGATATCCAGGACCAGCCAGAATAGGAAGATCATGGGATATATTCTTGGGAGAAACATTACAACTTCACAGCGAGCTCACACCAACCAAAACTCTCTCCGGTAATGAAACATGGCAATGGGAAATAGCCTATAAATGGAGCTTTTTATCCCTAAAGCTTGGAGCTTTGGTCAGGATCGTCATGATCATGCTGTGGGTTCGGCGAAAGCACCGGGATCGGAAAACAAGCGCAGGGATCCATCAAACGAATCAAAGTAACGGATCGTCAGAGCATGATGGGATCAATGGTGGCATTGACGGAGAAGGAGCAGAAGACGAGTTCCACGCTGACAGCGATGACGACATAGCCACGGAACTGATTTTGGAAGTCATCTATATGCAAATAAATGATTCATTTTCCATATAATCCAAAAGACATGGGTAGTTTTCACCAGGATGAGTCATTGCCTTGCTGTAATCAAACATGCCTTGCTGGACACGGATATATGTTTTTCAGGTAGTCATTACAGGGTCAGCCAACAAAATCAAAGCTGAGCCCTGGTCTTCTTAGTGTGGAGAGTACCTTTGAAACAGCACATCATTAGCTTTTGGGATCAGAGCGTTCCAGGATTGACCTGCGATTTGGTTGGTGGGTTTATCATTTTTGTGTCAGTATTTTTTCGTAAGCAGTGGGATGTTTCCAGCCATTTCTTGTTTCCAATCAGGATCAGTTTCTGTACGGCCCAGTGTCGCAGAAATTTCACTTACACTCAAGTCTGATTTATCATGCCCACACTATATTGTTGCTTGTTTCCCAAGTTGCTGGGTAGAAACCATCCTTTTTGTGCTGGTTTAACGCAATTTTGTTGCTGAAATCGTGGTGTCTGTCAGTTACCACTTCCCAGTTGTTCTGCTTAAATAAGCTAAAAGTATCTAAAAGTCATGTTTTTGTTCATAAATCAGTAGTTTGGATTAGTTTCGCTGGTTTAAGCTCTTCAATCATGTTATATAAATCTCTAAATCTCCGATTTTGCTGGTGGATGTGCATGAAATTGCTGGTTAAACATGTTATTGTATGTTTTCCTATGGTACTGTAGAAAAATGGAGTTTCCAATCCATGGGGATACCCCTACCATCATCCATGTTTTTCCGGATTTCCATCAATTGGGGATCCCCAATTTATCCCTATGGATCCAAACACTTCCTCAGAAGATACTTAACTCCCAAATCATACCCCAAACACTTCCTAAGAAGGTACTTGGATCCATAGGGTATGGAAACCTCCATATCTTTCTTGCGTCTGCCGGCCTTCGAACGCCGAGGTATGCGAAGGAGAAGTTGCAAGGCAGACCTTCGAGTGTGGGAGACTTTACGCATCGTGAGCAGCCTGGCACATGACTTAGTCATTACCCTCCAACGACTAGCCTCTGGTTATGCCAAATGGTGATTTAATGGTGATTTCATGGGATAAAATTGTGATTTCATGGGATAAAATGGTGATTAAATGGGTTTTATGTGGATGTACCCCTCCAATGGTGGTGATTAATGGCTAATAGTGAATTAATGGTTAACAATGGTTAATTAATATATAATGGTTAATGATTGTCAGTAATGGTTAGTAATTAGTGGTGATTGATGGAATAGATCCTCTGGTAATTTGTTACATAGCTATTGAAGCCATGGCCGTTGATAGATGAATTAGCCATTAAACATGTTGATTATCCAGTTCGCGAACTGTTAGTTTACCAGAGGGTATCCAAAAATGGTGAGTTTATTGGAATTTAGTGGTGTCTAATGGGGATATACTATATACCCGCCGCTAATCAAGCATGGTTTGCTTGTCCATCATTATCCCATCACTACAACTGGAGGATAACCCAGTTGTTTGTTGATTTTGTTGGTTTAATTTCGCTCAATTAACTACCACAAAGCCAAAAGTTAGGGTACCTATGTTTGCCAATTTAGCCAATTATAGCTAACTCAATTCTATTAACTCGAACCAGATGCAGCATTTTTTCCGCTAAATATCAACAAATCGCGAGCCCCCGCAGCCTGGGGCACTTCATCCATCCCAAGCAGTGTTTTGTCAGACATCCCACTCGGACGAAAAGTCCGTGCTTCATCCCAGTGGTTTCATTTATAACCCCGGTTGGACTACGTGTGGCGCCCATTGATGACCCATTTTGAGACATCACATCCCCAAAAAATGAAGCGTGCACTGCCAAACTACTGGGCAACCTCTTTTTTGTAGGTGTATGATTCATATGGGATGATTATTCGCCTGTACCCTCTGGTAATTTGTTACATAGCTATTGAAGATGGCACATAGAAATAGTTGATTTACCAAACTTAAAGATGGTGATTTTCCATAGCGAACTGTTAGTTTCCCAGAGGGTAACCGTTATAAGTGGACAAAGCTTGCCTAGACCATTTGATGACTGGTGAACTAAGCTACTTACTAAATGGGATGAATTACGACTTCGTAGTCTTCATGGGTGAATCATTCGACCGACGAACTCACATCTTTCGCGGGTAAAAAACATGGGGCCTCAGCTTGTACATGGCCATCCCCTCAGTAACTAAATTACCCCTATTTATACCCTTTGGTAAAATGGTTAATAATGGTTAATCTATATATATATAATGGTTAATGATTGTCAGTAATGGTTAGTATTGGTGCTGATTGATGGAATTATATATCCAGTATACTTTACCCTCTGGCATTTTATAATTTATTACGTAGCTATTGAAAATACACCATTTATAATTGATTTACCTATTCAAAATGGTGATTTTCTATAGCTATGTTCGTTTACCAGAGGGTAATACATCTTGATACTTGGATATATACTTGGATTATGACCATTGAAACTATTATAAGGTCATTATTGTTATAACTATTTTGACTTTTATGACTATGTTGTCAATATTACTATGTATAACGTTTATAACTATCAAAACTAAATGTGACAGTTATAGCTATTGTAACTATTGTCCTAAAACTATTTCTACCTATTATCACTCTTGTTACCCTTGGATGATCACTATTGTACCTAATGTAATTACTAGAACTACAACAATAACCAAATTATTATCCACTCTTACATGTTGCATCATGTTGCTATTATGTAACCATAAATATAACCCAAGTGTTAGTACGTTAAGATATATACTATATAGCATTATAACCTATTTACTTCTAAAAACAATTATACACTTGTAATTTCTCCATATCCATTCGTTTCCTTAAATAGGGGTCATCCCCAAATCATCTATTTTTATAGGAATTTCAATGAAATAAATCATCCAGCTATTGGGGATCCCCCATGACTATGGAATTTTCCAATAATGTAACTGGAAATATTTCTGCAGATCCATCCTAGACACCGCTGATGATCATAACTATGATAACTATACTTTAGTAACTATAGTATTATAAAATGAGTGTACTAATGAATTATAGTTATAGTAGTTATATATTGGTTATTATAAGTTTATAACGATTTATCATTGCATATTTACAACATTTTACACCATTATATGTATACTTCACACATCTTGATACTTGGATAAGTATTCTCACCATTAATTATATATATACACGTATCATTATTAGTCTTTCCACAGCATTTATGATATTTATGTCACTCTTGAATTATAAGTCCGTAATAAGTACCATTATCTATCCATATCTTTCCACTATATTTGACTAATTACTCACGACGTTTCTGTCACATTTAGACCGGATTATAACTATTGTAACCATGAATTGTAACTACCATTTCAGATGTTCATCCACTATTTCATCTAACCCAGGTACCATCTGGTTATTTAACAGTTTGCCAGGGAAAATCCAGCCATTTTTCAGTTCGGTAAACCATCTATTTCGATTAGGGCCATCGAAAAACCATGGCTATGTTAGTCATAACCTCAGGGTAACCCAGATAATAGTAACACTACCATTATAAAAATCGTCTAAGCTTGGATATTATCCAGATGTGGTAGTTCATGGGATCCGATTTCATCCACTGTGTCAGAAAAAGTTCCGTTTTTGTGACTATATAATGTCCACTAGCATTATGCCCACTAAATAGTGAATAGAATGAATCCAAAGTATCATCATATTGTTTGAATGACTATTATAAAAGTTATGCGCCATCCAATAGTGGTTACCCACGGGATAATGAAAACACATTTCATCCACTATTTCAATGACTAAGCATTCACAAGACATACCCTCTGGTAAACTAACATAGCTATGGACAATCACCATCTTTAAGTTCGCTAAATCAACTATTTCTATGGGCCATCTATTCAATAGCTAAGTGTCAGAAATTACCAGGAGGGTATATTCCATCAATCACCATTACTAACCATTACTGATAATCATTAACCATTATATATATATCTGTCTTTTGCAGACTATGAAGCCCCATTTTGGACTTTTGCCAGATGCAGCTTCAGAGGCTACCATCGCCTGGCGTGCTGCAGTTAACTCCCGCCCAGCAATCAAATCCGGGATGTCAGCCCCAAAAGACGTTATTGAAGCGTTCGCATCCGGCAGAGTGGAGAAAGCGAGTGATATCTGGGACACATTCAGGCCGAAAGTGTTCAAGCCTGTAGACAAGGCTGATACGGTACAAATGATGTTTGTAACGATGGCTGTCAACAGGAACGCCCTGACCAACTTGACCTTCGCCGACGCATCGGCAGTGTCGGCCATGCTGATCATGGGCCTTTCGTCTGGCCTCATGGCCAAGGAGCAGTTCAAAGTCGATAGTTCGCCAATCTTGCCGGACCACTGTGATAAAATTGTCGAACAATGGATGCTCTACCTGCTCGAAAGCTCTACAGTAGAGTACAACGAAGAGGAGAAGAAGAAGATGAAAGAGTACATGGCCTCTGTACTAGGATGGCCCCGGGGAGTTAGAGAATATATAATGGATTTATATTTATCATAAGATGTTTAGAAGTACAGTTATAACTTGTGTAACTGGTCTAAGTACATGCTAAGTTAATGGTTTGGAAGCCCCTGACTTAGCTACAACTTAGCTACTTATAAGTTCATGAGTACTAAAGTATGGGTAACTTAGCATAGACTTAGCTCATACTTAGGTTAGTTAGTCATATTGTATGTTTTTTGGTAATGTTTTTGCAAGGATAGTATTTTTTTGCAAAGTGGAAGATTATTTTCTGGAAAACAGAACAGAAGTGATGTCCAAAGAAATCGCCTGATCCCACGCAGCTGGTTCAAGTTTTTAATTCGTTGCTGGCACAGCAAGTTTTGTTCCTCAACAAACTGATCCAGTGGTGCCTGAAAGAAAATTGGGGTCTGGTCTGCCAAGAAGATGGCATCGAGCAGCAGACCATTTGTTGCTTCGTCTTTGGCGGCTGGACAGATCAGTGGAAGCGCTGCGAGGTCCTGCTGAACAGTTATCACATAGAGATATTTCAGCAGTCCGTTGCCAATGATCTGGTCGAGCTGCAGCAGTGCACCGACCTCTTGCCCGAGGCCACATGGATGGGCTCACGAGGCCCAGAAGCAAGTATAGAGAATCTAGTGTGTGATGTGCCTGAGCTGCAGCAGCAGAACCGCAGCGTAGAAACGCAGTGACCTGCCCAGAGGAAATGACGAAGTCCGCGAAATGTCCGCCGGAGTCCGCGACTGTCCGCGGCTCCTGGGGAGGTATGGGTTGTCCGCGTGTCCGCGCAATCGAAAGCAATCTAGCAGAAGGTAAACGAATATGGGAATTCTTAGCTTTTGAGGCATGTCCGCGACCTGAAACTCACTGGAACTTGTCCGCGGAGTCTGGAGATGAAATCTTGTTTTTGTAGCTGTTTAGGTTCAGCTGGGACGCGTCTCGCCCCTCTTGTGTTGCTCTGGAACGTTTGCCGTCTGCGATGGCTGATCCTGCTGCCGAAGAAGAGGTCAAGCGTCTCACGAGTACGCTCTGTAATCTGAGCTACGTGCCAGATAAGGGGAGGGTACACAGACGCTGTTTTCCTTTCAGATGATGTTGCATGCAAACTTGTCAACTTCACGCAAACATCTTCCACATTTGTAGCAAAAGTAGGCATGTATCATAGAAAGACAAATAAATGCGCCAGCAAACTCGCAAATTGGCAGACAAAAGGTCAAAGCCATATCATACTTGCTCGAAGCCATGTACTTAAGAGAAAACGACGACGCCACGGTCGCTATGCTGCTTTAGAAAAACACACTGCGCTTGGAAACCACTTGATGAAATCAGACAAATTAAAAAAAAACGCCCAATCACATAATATAACCAAAAAACACATTGTAGAACTTAGCACACTTACAACCCAACTTAAGATGAACTTAACAACCTTCTTTTTCATAAGTTCGCTAAGTTCATGTTAACCAACTTATAACTTCCTAAGCCACCCGGGGCCATCCAAGTAATATCAGGTGGAGATTCTTCGGAAGCCCACTACGTGTCTTCGATAGGCATGTCAAAGATGGATCCCCAACAGGCATCGGCATACCTCAAGAGTCAAAGGTTTCGGCTGAGTGAGCCCACGTTCCAACCGTTACCTTAGGGGGGACGTGATCTAACCACCCCCCGGGCAATTGTGGCATTTCTTTTGCCTTTGTGCTGCTGGTGGCTCTTCTGAACTGGCGTTTGCCCTGGAACTGCATCAGCACTGTGCTCTTCAAGCTTGGCCAGCTTGAATCACCTGTAGTCCCGGCTACATTAAAAACCCGGGTGATTGGCCTTTGGAACTTGCTGCATCATACGGATTGACATTGTTCTCCAGTATACCAACGGCATCTTCCTGGGCCTTTTCCACTACATGCAATTTTACTATTTCATTGTGTATATCTTGGTGATCTTTGGGGACATCCAGAATTACACAGACACAGAGGCGCAGACAGCGCCGACAACGGGCGAAAGCCCGATTGGATTGGCACCTCCACAAGCGTGGCATTGTGGTGCTTCCAACGCAGAAACTTGTGGTCCTGCGTGCACGCCTTCAAGCTCACCATTCTCGCGATCCGGCTCTGATCAAGCGCATCACGGCAGCTATGACAGACACCAGCCGAACGCCATGGAGATGCTTTTGGTGCAAGCGCCTCAACAAGCAGCAGGCCACATACTGCGGCTCATGCTATTCACCATGGGACAAGTGTGTGGATATCCACTATGTACATGGACAGAAGGCGACGAGCTCGCAACCAAGTGCCCCTGCCAGATCCAAATCGAGAAAGCAGTGGCAACAACAGGAAGACTGGGAGAATTGGGGCCAATCACCCAGAAGAAGAGGCAATGCCTCTCAATACAGACAAGCAGAATCGCCGAGGAAACGGCCAAAGACTCCGAAGAAGAAGCAGCCCAAAGACAGCTATGGCACGCCGACATTGGATCCACCATGGCAATCAACGACATCTCCAGCATTGCCTGCGGCACCAATGGAGCCTCAGGGTCCCACAGCAGAACGGACGTTGCTTCAGGAGCTTGTTCATGCCTTAGAACACTCAGACACCACAGTCTCAGACGAAGTTCAGACGGTGATCGACAAGACCAAGAAGGCACCAGAGCCGCCGCCCCCCTCAGCCTCAGCCAAGAGTGTGAGACAGGCGTTCGACAAATTAGAGAAGAAAAGGAAGAGCTTACATCAAGCCCAGCAAGCCAGAGGAAAGCTTCATCAGTCTTGGTTCAACTATATCGAAGAGTCTGCAAAGAGATGGCGTTCTTTCGCAGAGGATTTTGCCAAGAAGGACCAAGAATTGGAGAAGAAAGTTTCAGAAGCCAAAGAACTTGTACAAGAAGCCAGATCGAAGTACGACGCGGCCAAAGAGGCCAACGACAAACAAGATGCAGACCTCATGGCCGAGGTCGAAGAGATCTCCGATGGGATGGACGAAGACAGTCCAGACAAAATGGCATCGTCAGAAGAGATCCAGGCAGGGATTCAATCCATGCTGACTACGTTGGAGAGCTTCAGACCCAGGCCATCAGAAGAAGCTGCAGAAGCACACCAAGCCAAGAAGCCAAGGCTGGACACTGCACCGGAGGAATCCACAGACGCACGTGGTCCTGGTTCTGCTGCATTGCAGCCTTTTCACAAGCCCGACAAATAGACCAAAGGCAGGAGGTTTGTCCTGGGCATCCACATAGCTTTGTACAAGCAGAATATCTTGAGCACCAATGGACGCACTCCATCCTTGAGGAGAGCAACTTTCTCAATGAATGGCGGGCGAGCATCCATGGTCTTGATTTGGCTTTTGAAGTCTCGCAGATGCGTGGGTTTGGCTTTGCTGAGACTCCTCTTCCAAGTTGTCCTGCGGTCAAGAATGCAGGAAACCTTTGTGTACGTTTTGATGACACAGTCGAGCTCTATGTGGGCCATGAGCAAGATTGGCATCTACAATTTTGGCAGCACAACATTGGAGTTCCCATTTTACATGCAGATATCTTCCAGCCCCTGACGTCTCCATTGAGCGATGAAATTTCCTTCATGGCGACCCCAGGGCATCATCGTCTGCAAGATTTTGGACCTCATGAACATGTACCTCCCAACATCATGCAGAACCCGGACATTGGAATTGATCCTGCAGAAGCGCCAGCAGGTGAAGACAATCTTCCGGCTTTATCTGATGATGAGATGAGTGCAACTGATTCTGAACCTCAATCGGCTGGGCGTCCAGATTGGTTTGCAACGCTGCTTTTTGCCATTGACTTTCAAGCGGTTCCTATGCGGGTTGACTGGAACGACTATGAGTCTATGCACACGGAAGCAGCACATGAGCTTGGGATACGGCGTCAGGACCTCTTCTATCTTCATCATGTCAGACACGGACCACAAGATTTAGTTGATGCAGGTGTTGAACCTCTCTTGGGACACAGACATGGAGACATCAGCCCTGGCTCGACATTTCAAATTGTCCTTCTAGATGTTGAATTTCATGCAGCAGCGCCGGAACTCCAGCCAGAAGTCGTGCGTCGAGATGTGAGATTTCCCAGACACATTGGAAGGCTCTCCATCCTACAGCGTCTGGGGTTGGCAGAATTTTGCAGGGAGATGCATCAATCATGCATCTTATGGGTCAATGATGCTATCATGTCTAGATACAGTGCCAGACCAATTGAACTCACCCATGGTGATTATGTGCGTGTTGCAGTTCCACCTGGTCATGACCAAGTTTGCCACATTGGCACACGTTGTGTCGCCAGTGCTTGTCATCAAGGCATTTCGCAGCAGGAACTACATGATAGACATGCCCTTTTTCAGCTTGGTTGGTTCGACACTATCATTGATCACCCTCTTGTGCCCTTGCAACCTGATGCGGAGGAGATGGCTCTCCTACAGCATGGATTGACAATCATACCTCCTCTACCACGACCACCATGGACATTGAGTACGATGCCTGAATGTCGAATCAATGTTACTGGCGATAGACCCACAGATCATTCTGAAGAGGACCCCAGTGACATCTATATTACCACGGTGCAGCGCCACACACCAGACCTCCCTGGTGGCTTCGTGCCGCGACCTGGCCTAGATAAACAGCCAGAGTACATATACAACTTGTTTGAGCAGCTTGAAGAGCATGGAGCGGTCGAAGTTGAAGAAGAGGGACAAGTTCTATATGTGAACACATGGATGCTCCATGATCCTGAATTTCCTGTTTGTCATGAATATCGCACAGTACGCTTGACATCAGATTTTCAGAACTGGCAGCAACACTTCCTCCATGCATGGCGCGATCGACTTGAAGAAGGAATCCCAGTGAACTTCTATCTTGTTTTTCCGCAGCCACCAACGACGAGATTGCAGCCTGAAGTTCTTCCACATGTGATACTGGTGCAGAGGTATCCGGAGAATCAGAGAGCTGCAATTATCACTCAGATTGATACAAGAAATCCGGGGGATCACTTCACTCATGTTGCTCTGTTCTTGCCGTCAATTGCTGGCAAATTTGACATTGTTGCGGCAATTGGTCAAACTGACAGATGCTATCCATTTGTTTCAGACTTGCAATGTATGACATGGCATGGTGAACAACAGCTTCAAGAAGGTGGAAGAATCGCCACGCACCATGGCATTTCTTTTATCATTATTCTGCAAGATATTGAAACATCTGGACCGGATGTCTGGAATGCCAGTGAAACTGACACAACAGATCTCATGCAAAGACCAAACACAAGAGGAAGAAGTGAACCAGAAACATCGAGTGAAACTTCGCTCAATCCATCGGCACCAATTTTCCGACCTGGCAGACCAATCATCAATGCGATGAATGAGTTCATTCAAGACTTACATCATCTATGGAATCGACGTGTCATGCCATGTGAGCCAGAAGAGAGGACTATGCTTGTTGCGGTTTGGTTTGTAGATCACCACAATGGACGCCTGCACTGCCCAGAGTATCGCTCGGTGCAACTTGGTGATGACTACACCCAATGGGAATTGCAACTTGCTCGACCATGGCAAGAACTCCGCATTGACTCATTGGAACTCGAATTCCATTTGGTGCTGCCACATCCAGAGGTCACCAATCCAGAAATTGAAGCACACATCATACTTGTCCAAGCGCCACACCAGCAACTTGTCACAAATTTGCTCACGGTCTTTGAGGAACATGCAGAGCGACAGCAAGTACGCTTGCAAAACGCAGTCACTGCGCATGAGCATCTTTGGGTTGAACATCTTGCACAAGGTATTGGTGTATATCAACAATGTTTTCAGGAACCCCGCACTGCAGAATGTCAAGTCTGGTATGGTGAACATCAATTGTTACCGGGAAGACCATTTGCAGCAAGCTCGGGACAGGCATTTTCATTTCGTATCTTTCATCGAACTGTTCATCCAGAAGGTACGATGTTCCTGCAACTGAATAAACTCATTACCAGCAACCGTGAGCGCCAAACACGTGGGCAGGTGGCTCACACCCACGGGCCACGGGAATATGAAGCTGACGTACAGGCTGATATTGATGCGCCATCAGCTGTGACAATTTTGGATCTGCAACACACAGGCCGCATACCCTCAGTCATTGAAATCACTGGAATCGCAACGACAGACAGTGTCTCAGCAGAGTTAATGGCATGGGGACACAATGTTGCTGTCATTGACTGCTGGCCGCAACCGGCGTTCGCATGCAACATTGCAGATGCGGGTGACGGACAACTTCATCATTTTCTTTTCTGCCGCACGGAAATCCAGGAAGATATTGAAGTTTTTGCACATACACAGACCAATGAAATGACTGACCAAGAGATGCTTGCATTCCTTTGCAGACTTGACTATCCAAGAGCAGTCATTGTCACCACTGAACAGGTACGACCATCATGGCGCAAAATTGTCTTCAGTCATCAGGAACCTCAACAACTTACCAAGCCAATCAAGAGTCCAGGAGTTTGGCCGCCTCCCTTTTCTCAGAGAAAATCAGGGGAAGGCCCCTTCTTTGATCCATCACAAGTACAAGACCTACAAGGGCCATGCACATTGCAAACCTCTCTCCAGCGACAAGATCTCCATGACCTCTTTTGCTCTGGCAATGACATACTGTGTAGAGATTTCACATGTTTTGACATGCCGGAGTACATGAAGCAGGTCTTTGCAGCCTCCAATAGCACGGATCCATTACCTGCGCTGGAGACCTTTGACAGGATTCTCATTTTCACGGATGGCACGTCGGCACCTGAAGTCAAACGTATGCCACCTGAAAGAGCAGATGAGCTTGGCAAACCTGATGCATGGGCATTCTTAGTTGTTGGAGAGAACGTCCGAGATGGACATCATGAATTCCTGCCTCTCGGGTGGACAGCACAAGTTGTCAGATACAACGACAGAGGTACTCATTGTGATGGAATTACAAAAATCGGATCTGATATGGCAGAAAGAAGTGCAATTACCTGGGCAGCATTATGGAGATTCTCACAGAATGTCTCTGTTGAGACGATATTCTGCATTGATTCTGCCGTCACAGGAGGGCAAGCATTTGGAGAAACTGGATCTTGTGTGCCAGATGTATCCTACCGTATTCAGAGAGGTCTCATCCAAGCACTGGAAGCAGCATTGCCCCAAAGCCACTTGCACTGGCACCATGTCAGATCTCACACGGGTCTCATTTTTAACGAGTTCGTTGACCTTGCGGCCAAGCGTGAAGTTGCTCAAAGTTTTCATCATCCACGTCAGAAAATCTCGATGCAGAAGTGGCAGAGCATTATTCCATACTTGTGGTTAGTTTTTGCTGGACCACGATGGGGTATGCCACTTTGGCAGAATGGTGGTTTTGAAATACCACCTCCGGAATTGCCAACACAACAGAACAAAGCAGGCGGGCAACCCATCAGAAATGTCCAGCACAAACACATCAAGCTGGCCATAAGCCTTGCCACAGCAAATGTGCAATCCCTATCGCGACATCCAGACGGCCATGCGGGCAAACTCCACTTCTTGCAGAGGCAAATGCGTGAGTTTCAATTGAACTGCATCGGTGTTCAGGAAGCAAGGACAGAGCAAGGGGTAGCATGCAGTGGCAACATCTTGCGTTTGTGCTCCGGTCACCAGCAACATCATCTTGGAGTTGAACTCTGGATTGACTTGGACTTGCCGATAGGCTTCGATACCAAAAAGAAGCCCTACAAGCTGCAGAGATCTGACATACAAGTGGTACATGTTGATCCGAGAAGACTCCTGGCACGTGTTGAACATGCCGCATGGACAGCATGGATTGGGGTCTTGCATGCACCACACAGTGGACACACTCAACAAGCAAGAGCTGAGTGGTGGCAGGAGACGCAAAATCTATTGGATCAATACAAAAACAATGATCCTCTCTTCATCCTCATGGATGCAAATGCTCCACCAGGAGAAGCTGATGGACATGCAGTGCTGCGACATGGTTTTGCAACAACGCAAAGCACAAAATACATGCGTGACTTTCTAGCCACCAATCATTTGTGTTTGCCAGCCACGAGTAACTGTCATGCAGGAGATCAGGGTACATGGCTTGATCTACGAGGAGAACGCCTTCACTGCATTGATCATGTTGCGATACCAGAAGATTGGCTACATTGTGCAACGCACTCGCAAGTCCTTGAAGAATTTGATCTTGCGACATCTCAAGACGACCATCGACTTGTAGCATTACAATTGCAATGGCACGATCTTGTTGAAATTGTCAAGTTCCAGAGGAAGGCCAGAAGAGTTGTGCAGATTGATTACAAAAGAGCGGACATTACGCACATGATTGAGAATTACCAGCCTGCATCATGGAGCGCTGATATTGAACAGCACACAGAGACTTTCAATCAGCACCTTCTTCTTGCAATGCAGCTAGGTGAACAATCTCATGATGCCCAAATCAAGAAGCACTACATTGATGAGGAGGCCTGGAACACTCGCAAGATCAAACTGAAACATCGAGCCACATTGAAGGCATTGAGAACGCGTATTGCATGTGACATCCTTCGCAGATGCTTTGGTGCCTGGCGTGACAGAAATCCCAATCTTCTCATTGAAGGGACCTGTTACACGGCCACGTTACATTGCTGGAATGTCAAACATTGGATTGCATTTCGACGTGCTGCCAAGAAGTTGAAACAACAACTATGCACTGCCAAACAAGCCAAGCTGCAATGTGTACTTGATGAAATGAGTGCTGACACAGCCGCCTCAGTCATCCTCCGTCAGCTGCGCAGTTTCACAGGGCCTACAAATCCGAAGAAACTCAAGCAAAAGACCCTCCCACTTGTGCAAGACGCTGATGGCAATGTGTGTGCCCACCCAGCGGAAGCACTGGGAGTATGGATTGATTTCTTCATGAAGATGGAAGGAGGCCACAGAACGTCATTGCCGCAGCTCAGAACTGAATGGATTGATGAATTGCGCCATTTTGCAAACTCTGAGATCCACATCGACATCGGTGAGATGCCAACATTGACAGATCTTGAAATTTCTTACAGAAGAGTGCCATGTGGACGAGCACAGGGACCTGACGGTATCCCAGGGGCTTTATGCCACTACCAGCCGGCGCCTATCGCCAAAGCCAGCTATTCACAGCTGGCCAAGCTGGTTTGCCACGGCCAGGAGTTCCTCTGGCACAAAGGGGGACAATTGACCCCAGCCTACAAAGGCAAGGGGCTGACGTCAAGCTGCACTTCATACCGCTCTTTATTGGTATCGAGCAATATTGGCAAAGCACTGCACAGGACGATCCGCCAATCTTCTGCAGACCTATATGAAGCCTTCCTACATGCTCAACAAGTAGGAGGCAGAAGGAAAATTCCAGTGCAACTGGCGCTCCATCAAGTACGCGCACACATGCGAAGAGCTGCTGGTGGAGGACGTTCAGCCGGAGTGTTGTTCTTAGACTTGACCGAAGCATTCTACCGCATCATGCGGGAGATCACGATCGGTGGCACTCCGACAGACGCATTGATTGCTCATGTGATGCACAGGCTGGACTTGCCGTCTTCGGCAATGCGTGACATCCTAGCCTTGTTGAACGAGCCGTCAGCTATTCAGCAAGCAGGTCTGAGCGAGACAGCCAGGCGCTGCATCCAATCAATCCATACTGGAACGTTTTTCTGGCTTGCGGGCCAGCATGACGCTGCCAAGACAAGCATGGGAACGAGGCCTGGTGATTGTTTTGCTGACATAGTTTTTGGCTACGCTTGGGGCATTGTCTTAAAGAAAATGGAAGCTTTCATGGTGGAGCACAACCTTGTAGACAAGCTCCCAGCAGCCAATTGCCCGAATCTCTTCGACACCGAGCTCTTTGACGCCCAGTGCACTCCACCTGACTATGTCTTCATCGGTCCTACGTGGATGGACGATTTAGCGTTATGCGTGGATGGTGGAAGTCCTCAACAGCTTGAAAGCAGAATGGGAAGTGTGGCAAGCTTTCTGTTGGATCTTTGCAAGCAGCATTTGATGACACCGAATTTGGCACGGGGGAAGACAGAACTCCTCATGGTATTCAGAGGAGCTGGCTCCCGTCGTTTTACCACCAAACACTATGGACAGGACAAGCCAGCGACTTTTCCCGTCATATGCGATACAGGAGTGCATCACATCCAGATTGTGAAAAAGTACCGACATCTTGGAGGTTGGTTGCATCACAAGCCTGACCAACGTGCCGAACTCAAGCAGAAGAGTGCACTGGCTCATGAGACGTTTAGCCGCCACCGCAAGGTTCTCTTTGCCAACCAGCGTTTGCCCATTGCCAAACGAGCTGAGCTGCTTTCAACATTGGTTCTGACGAAAATGCTATATGGAGCAGACTCATGGACCTTAGCTACAGCAAGTGACAAGGCGAAATTGCACGCGGTGATCATGCGACTATACAAAAGACTTATTTGCTGGAAGCCAGACATGAACATGTGTGATGAGATGATTATCCTTCAGACAGGGCTACCTAGCCCAACTGAGCTTCTCCGCAGGGCAAGATTGCGATATCTATCGGTCCTCCTCAATTGCGACATGCCATTGATCTGGAGTCTACTCAATGAGGACATTGAGTGGAAAAGATTGCTTGAGGATGATTTGAATTGGATGTGGATGCAATTACGCCACAGTTCAAGTCTACCAGAGCCGAAGGGACACATGGGGCACTGGATTCTTTTTGAAGACTTTTTGAACGTGCAGTGCAATGTTTTGGTTTTCCTGAACCACCTCACATTGATGTGGCAGGCACTTGTGCGAGAGAAGATGAGGAGAAGTATGGATGCCTCACTTGCCGCATAGCATGTGCATCAAAAGCGGGAGAAGGTGCCCACATGTTCCGAAAGCACAATATAGTCGCAACATGCCGACAGTGGTATGATGAGCCATCTTGCCCTTCTTGCCTCAAATTCTTTCACACCATGGCAAAAATGAAAGCACACCTTTATTATTCCAAAGTTTGTAGACAACGTTTGCTCAGCAGGAACATGCGTTGCAAAAGCATGCCTGGAACAGGGTCAGATGTGGATCGTTCGCGTGAAGAAGCACATGACTTCCTGCTTCCACCACTGAAGGGAGAAGGACCGCAACTTCCACCGGCGCATCCGAGAGAAGAGATTTGCATTGATGATGCTTTACATCTCCATCTCGTTGAGGCAGTAGATGCGAGAATGACGTTTTCGCAACTCGAGGCCTCATTAGGTGAGTATGTTGCGACCCATCCTATTTCATGGTCCATGTGGAGGGCAACATTGCGCTTCTTTGTGGACATGTTTGAAGAGGAGGATGCAGACTTCTTTCAGTATGACATTGCGGAGTTTAAAGCGTTCTTTGAGCAGTTTCTGCGCACAACAGCATGGCCATTCCTTCAATATCAGAGGCGACATGATGAAGTTCAACAACAGAGAACGATTGCGGCCTGCCATGACCAATGTAGTTGGTTTTTGGAGCACACTGGCGACTTCTCTGTAGATGTTCCACGAACGTTTGGGCGACATCGTTACGTCCTACACGCTTTCAGTGGAAGACGCAGAGTTGGTGACTTACAGTTTTTCCTTGAGAGACTTGCTGAAGGAGACCAACCCTATGTTCTTCACATCATTTCCATTGATATCATCATCGACCAGACATGGGGCAATGTTGCGAATGCAGAGACAAGACGCTTTTGGTTGGAAGCCATTAGGTCCCGATGGATCATTGCATTCATCGGTGGACCGCCTTGCGAGACTTGGTCGAGAGTTCGTGCGGTCAACAACAGTCCAACAGGTTCGCGTGCACCTCGTGTGATCCGCGATTGCGAACACCTCTGGGGTTACGAGAGCGTTGGGCTCACTGAGCTCCAACAGCTCCTTGTTGGAAATACACTGTTGGGGTTTTCTATGGAAGCCATGACCGAGATCGCGGGTGTCGAGGGCATGGGCATCCTCGAACATCCAGCTGAGCCAGATGACCTTCCGTCCGCAGCCTCCATTTGGAGACTTCCGCTGATGCAATGGATGCTGGGCCTACCAGGTGCGACGAGGTTGCGATTCTCCCAGGGCCTCATGGGCGCACCATCACCCAAACCAACGGATCTCCTCCTGATCAACATGGATCATTTGCTGCTGCACTTGCATCGCTGCCGTGTCAGGACTGAACTTCCGCATGGTAGGGCAATAGGTAGAGACATGCATGGCCACTGGCGCACGGCAGTATTGAAGGAATACCCTCCTTCACTCTGCCTTGCTTTTGCTAGGGCGATTTTTCAGGGCGTTGATCAAAGGACAATCGACCCTTTTGCACAGGAACCGTCTCCCGATTTCATGGCAAAGTGCCGTCCAATGGAATGCACAGAGTTTGGATGTGCCATTGGCCGTGATTTTGCGGGATGACCGGAAGAACAGAATTTAGACTTGCGCAGCCGCGGCGAGAGCCTCTTTGTGCGGGAGCCAAAAAATATATATATATATATATATTAACCATGATTAACCATGATTAACCAATATTAACTGGTGGTATGCCCGAGGCAGTTCCAGATCTTGAAGGACCTGCAGAGCAACAGCAACGGCTCCGTCCACCTGGCCAAGGCCCTCGGTGCCGCAGCGCAGGCCGTCGTGGCACCGGTGCTGGTGCTGAAACGACGCAAGGTGCCGGTGCGGTTCACGGAACGCGGAACGGATCAACGGGGGAAGGTTGGGCTGAAGAAGTGCTTGGTGGTTTCAAACATTGGTTTAGTATGGGGTAATGATGCTTAATCATGCTTAATAATGTTTAATAATCACTGGTTGGTGGTTTCAAAATGTTTCAAACATGAACTTTATTTTCCATAAGATATGGGATGTCATCCTTCCCATTGACGAACTCCATCATTTTTCAACATGGTGAAATCGCACCACCAACCAGATAGTGAAAACCTGGGATTTTCACAGAAAATCGGAAAAAATGCTCTCAAATTTCATGCTGGCAGGGATTTGCTCGCGCAGTTTCATGCGTGCTTTGCCACAGTGAGGTCGTGGATTTTTTTAGCAGAAAATCACAGGATGGGGCCCCAGTTCGTTAGCGTTCAGGTGGTGAACATAACTACAATTTCACCATGTTGTGTATGATACGCAAATATATTTAGATGGGGTTATTTTCACAAACAGACATAACTGGAGGGCCCCATCCTGCAAGTAATGAGGATTTAGCGGGATCAACTATAAACCTGGATTTTCTATTGCCGAGTTTGACCAGAGGCTTCCCCAAATTTGATGGTTAATCATCATTTTCCCCATTACAGTTGCTTCAAATGGTGATATACGCGATTTTAATCCACAGGCACATCCATATGACCACTTAGATTGACCTCACTGCGACCCCAGTATAATCATGGTTAGTAAGGGGAATCATCCCAAAATGGTCTTATTTCAGGTTAGTGAATTATTATAATTTATCCAAATATGTATATATATATAGAGGTTGTTCAATAACTATCAAGAATTGCTAATATCAAGGGATGAATAAAACTCTTTGAGGGAAGCAAATACTAACAGAGAGTCTACGAACACTGGTCAAGAACAGAAACATTCACTGCACTTTCTTTGAACCTTCAAGGGCAAACGACTGCTGTACAACATCTAGTCGCAGACACTGTTGATGAAGATGTTGACGTATTAATGTCTGATTTTCCTTCGTTTGACGTTGGCGGTATCAGACAGATGCTCGACGATGAGGGAGAGACCAAAGATCTTTACTTCAGAGGAGTATCTCCGTTTGAAAAGATTTTCGTATAGCAGCAAAGTATGGAGGAGCAGCTACAGTTTTCTTGTATACTATTCTTTCATCAATTTTCAGTCAATTGAAGGACGCTGAACTCTATTGGAGAGTTCTTGGCGTGGTCGCTTCCGGACATTGTGAAGTGAGGGGAGTCGACAGTATCGTTCAACGAATGAGATTCGCTGTCACTGAGTACATATTGAAAGTAACACTTTCAGATCCACTGATTGGTGGGGACGACGGACTTTGGAGGTTACGTCGTCAAATTAGATCCTTCTATCGGGATATTTTTATCCCAATGTATTGCATATTTGGTTCCGCACCGACATTACCACCCAAATCGAAGTTAACACATCTTTCCATTGGCCTTTGGTTGCTGATGACTTGCGTGTCTTGAGTGCTAGGATTTGGGTCCTTGCCAACCATTCGAGCCAGAAGCAACTACTAAATAGTGATAAGTCATGAGAACCATATATATATATATTGTATATACATATAAGTAAGCATGTAAGTATATATAAAAGTATATATTAATATGTAAGTGTTTATATATATATATGTATAAGTATGTATAATTATGTATATATATATAAATATGTGTATATATTTGTGTATATATACATATATGTACAAGTATATAAGTATATATGTATATATGTACATATATATATATACATGTACATATATATGTATTTAAATACGTATATTTAAAATACACATGTATAAAACATAGAAATATATATATATACATACATATATTAAGCATATATATATATACGTATATGTATATAAATAAGTAAATATATATATATATATATTTATTTCAATATATGATATATTTAAGTGTATACATAAGTATATATAAGTATATATAAGTATATATAAGTATATTTAAGTATATATAAGTATATATAAGTATATATAAGTATAAATAAGTATAAATAAGTATATATAAGTATATATAAGTATATATAAGTATATATCAGTATATATAAGTATATATAAGTATAAATAAGTATATATAAGTATATATAAGTGTATATAAGTATAAATAAGTATATATAAGTATCTGTAAGTATATCTAAGTATATATAAGTATATATAAGTATATATAAGTATATATAAGTATTTATAAGTATATATAAGTATATATAAGTATGTATAAGTATATATAAGTATTTATAAGTATAGATAAGTATAGATAAGTAAATATATAAGTATATATAAGTGTATATAAGTATAGATAAGTATATCTAAGTATATATAAGAAAATATAAGTATATATAAGTATATATAAGTATATATAAGTATATATAAGTATATCTAAGTATATATAAGTATATATAAGAAAATATAAGTATATATAAGTATATATAAGTATATATAAGTATATATAAGTATATCTAAGTATATATAAGTATATATAAGTACATATAAGTATATATAAGTATATAAGTATAGTATATATAAGTATATATAAGTATATATAAGTATATCTAAGTATATATAAGTATATATAAGTATATATAAGTATATATAAGTATTTATAAGTATATATAAGTATATATAAGTATATATAAGTACATATAAGTATATATAAGTATATATAAGTATATATAAGTATAAATAAGTATAAATAAGTATAAATAAGTATATATAAGTAAATATAAGTATATAAAAGTATATATAAGTATAGATAAGTATATATAAGTATATATAAGTATATATAAGTATATATAAGTATATCTAAGTATATCTAAGTATATCTAAGTATATCTAAGTATATATAAGTATATATAAGTATATATAAGTATATATAAGTATATATAAGTATATCTAAGTATATATAAGTATATATAAATATATATAAGTATATAAAAGTATATTTAAGTATATATAAGTATATATAAGTATAAATAAGTATATATAAGTATATTTAAGTACATATAAGTATATATATATAAGTATATATAAGTATATATAAGTATATATAAGTATATATAAGTATAAATAAGTATATATAAGTATATATAAGTGTATTTAAGTATATATAAGTATATATAAGTATATATAAGTATATATAAGTATATATAAGTATATATAAGTATATATAAGTATATATAAGTATATATAAGTATATATAAGTATTTATAAGTATAGATAAGTATAGATAAGTATATATAAGTATATATAAGTATATATAAGTATATATAAGTATATATAAGTATATCTAAGTATATATAAGTATATAGTATAGTATATATAAGTATATATAAGTATATATAATAAGTATATATAAGTATATATAAGTATATATATATAAGTATATATACTAAGTATATATAAGTATATATAAGTATATATAGGTATATATAAGTATATATAAGTATATATAAGTATATATAAGTATATATAAGTATATATATATATAAGTATATATAAGTACATATAAGTATATATAAGTATATATAAGTATATAAGTATATAAGTATAAATAAGTATATATATATAAGTATATATAAGTATATATAAGTACTATATATATATAAGTATATATTAAGTATATATAAGTATATTATATAAGTATTTATATAAGTATATATAAGTATATATATATAAGTATATATAAGTATATATATATATAAGTATATATATATAAGTATATATAAGTATATATAAGTATATATAAGTATATAAGTATATATAAGTATATAAGTATATATAAGTATATATAAGTATATATAAGTATATATAAGTATATATAAGTATATACTATATATATAAGTATATATAAGTATATATAAGTATATATAAGTATATATAAGTATATATAAGTATATATAAGTATATATAAGTATATATAAGTATATATAAGTATATATAAGTATATATATATATAAGTATATATAAGTATATATAAGTATATATAAGTATATATAAGTATATATAAGTATATATAAGTATATATAAGTATATCTAAGTATATATAAGTATATATAAGAAAATATAAGTATATATAAGTATATATAAGTATATATAAGTATATATAAGTATATCTAAGTATATATAAGTATATATAAGTACATATAAGTATATATAAGTATATATAAGTATATATATATACGTAGTTGTTCAGGCTGGATCACATATATGACCTTATCATAGATGATGGGGAGATCATCCCAACTTGGCGGAAGAGATCTTTGGGATATACCCAACCTGGAGTCATCAAACATGGCAAGCTGGAAAATCCCTTCTTATATATATATCTATATATCTTGGTATGTAAGGGTTTTATAAGGGATGGATAGTTATATATATATATATTGATACAGTAGTTATATAGTTTTATAGTCATCCAGCGTTACAAGTTATTTATAGTTGATATTCACACTCAAACCCTCTATTTATACGGGGTTTTCCATTGAAACGTTTGATTACTAAAGGGTAAATGGGCCTCTGGTCACAGATACAAAGGTTATATCCAAACTTCTTGTGCTTTTTACCATTACCAATTCCCATCAAACATACCCGTCGACAGAATTGGTATTTTACCCCACACATGTTGCGTACTTTACCCAATTTTACGGCTAGATAATGCTAGATACTTAGCATATTTCACCTAAGAAATGCAGATGTTCCTCCACACCTGTGTACTTTTATCCCATTTTACAGTAACAAATCAAGATGTGCTTTTGTACTTTGATTCCCATGTTCGCATATTTTAACCCAGCATTGATTGTTTTTTTTTTCGCCCATCACATATTTTTTGTCGCTGCAGTGACGAAGAGAGTTGAGCCAGGTACCTGAGCTGGGAAAAGCCAAAGATATGCTGAATGAGTACGAGGTCAACTCCGCCTGGAGGATCATCTTACGGTTTTTCAGCGAAACAAAAAAACCACCTGATGGTTGGTAAAGTCGCCTAATTTCTGGGTTTTCCCATGTATAAATGGCTTATAAACTCATGTCCTAACCACTTACGAAGTAGATGGTTATTACAGGATGGGGCCCTCCAGTTTTAAGTTTGTGAAAATAACCCCATCTAAATATCGTTATTTGCGTATCATACACAACATGGTGAAATTGTAGTTATGTTCACCAACTGAACGCTAATGAACTGGGGCCCCATCCTGTATCTAACTCGGTTTTATCCCATCTATAAATGGATTTTAAGATATTTTAAGTATGGTTACTGATCCGCCCATCCCGTAAGTGGTTAATAAATGGCCTTAAAACCCTAGTTACAATCCATTTCTAGGTGGGATTTGGGCCCACTTTGAGAATAACCATAGTTAGTAAGTGGGAAATGGAAATGGGCTTATAACCCAAGTTATTCTCAAATAAATTACCATTTTAAATGGGATACGACCATTAGAAATGGGTTAGAAGTCCCCTAAGCAGTTTGAGAATTACCATTACGAATGGGATATTCTGCTTAGGGGATTTACGATCATCAGGATTGTTAACCATTTATCTCGTGCGATGATCCCCCAAGCAGGGGGAAAGAAAGGGCGCGTACTTCCGTGGCGCATTCGCAATTTTTGTTTGAAGGCAATGCCAAATAAAAACATGGAAGAAATTGAAGTTAGATAAATTTGATAATACATGTTCATTGCTCATTTGAGCAACCCTAAAAACCCCGGCAATACTAAATATGTATTCGACGGACATTGGCTTATGGAAATTGATGGAAATTGTTAAAAACACGAGGTAAGCGATGGGACCTTCCCAAATTAGCGATACCCCTTTTCAAGGTTATGTCATCATATTTCTCTTATATCCACATTAGCGATACCCAAATATCACATATTATTCATAGTTCATCATATATATATAATTACAGCAGTTTCCTGCGAGCGATACCCCCCAAGTTTACCATATATCATTATTGTACAAACGTGTGGTAAGCGATGGGACCTTCCCAAATTTGTGAATGTCCTTTCCGTGAACCTAGGGTTTTCACAATCGCTCATTTCAGTATGTATATGTATATATATATATGTAGGATTGGACATGATTTTCCCCATTTCTACTTTTGGAGAACTGCTATAAATAGAAATCAAGAGATTCAGTCGGTGATGTCTTCCACTTACCAAGATATATCCACCATCAATATCCACAACCCTGGTTATGTTAGGTCAACATACTGTGGATGGGATGGGCCAGCGAAATCCTGCACGAGTTGGGGATCATGGTAGACCTGGAAAGCTTGCCGGGCCAAGCCGGTGGTAGATGGTAATCCCCTTATTATCCCACATTTACCTTGTTAGATAGCTACCAATAATTACCATCTGGTAATTCGTTACATGGCTATTGAAGCCATGGCCATAGAAATAGTTGATTTACCAATTAAAAATGGTGATTTTCCATAGTTATGTTAATTTACCAATAGTTCCCAACTGCTGCAGGATTTCGCAACCATCCACAGTTGTTTGATGTTGGATGTTGGTGTCAACAATCTGTACACTGTCCGATAGATGGATGGTTGCAACAGCCTTGTTGCGTTCACCTGTTACTGTAGTTTGTTGCGCAACAACGCGACGCAAGCACAGGCAAGTCACAATGTGGGGGCCCCAATAGATAGCTGAGTTAGTTTATAGTATTTTATAATTACAATAACTAGGGTATAGGTGTAGTTACATGGGTTGCAAGAAGCACCACTTAAATCCGCATCCAAATTCATGTGTGCAGTCATTTTTCTGCAGGAAAGGGATCGAAGGGTTCAGGATTTTTCGAGTTCGCCATCAACATTCACCACAATGTGGTGCCCCCTAGATAGTTAAGTTGGTTTATAATGCTAATAACTAGGACTTATGGTAGATATATCTATAGTTAATGGGATTATAAACCAACTAACATAACTTGCGGGGCACCACCTTGTTAACTCTGGAAAAGGAACCAGTCACTGGGATCCTCATCATGATGAACTGATGATTCATAAATCGCAGAGATCTCTTGGGGTTCAAATATTTCGCCTATCCAGAAACATCCAGAAACATCGCCTATCCGGAAAAGCGGGATCCAAAATCTTTCCGCATCGGGTACTTGGAGGGTCACCCAAAGATCAAAAGTGGTGAAAAAACCATAGTCAGTTCACCCATGTTATGGGATTGAATGGGATTTAAGCGAGAAATTTCGATGGATTTGGTGCAAGGTGGTGCCCCCAATATAGCTAATTAAGTTGGTTTATAACTCCAGTAACTATGGTTTAGGTGATTTACCATGATATATCTATAGTTAATGGGCTTGTAATTCATTCATAACTGGTGGGGCACCTCCTTGTGGGATTTATTGGTCAATTTCTCTGGCAGTTTTCACGTGGTTTTTTCGAGCCACATTCGAAAAAGCCATGGGAGTTCAGCTTTTCGAGCTCGCGAGCTCCGGGTACCATCACCAGGTGCCAAGTTACCCTTTGGTTATGTCAACATAGCTATTGAACATTGCCCAGTCGAAATAGTGGATTTTCCCATGAAAAATAGCATGGTGATTTTCCAGTTCGTCTTTTGTATGTTTACCAGGCCGGGTATCAATTTTCGGCCGTGAGATTGCCGTGAGTTTTTCGGGTGATCAATCCCAACGACTACCCTCTGGTTATGACTAACAGTTCGCCATGGTAAAGATGGCCCATAGAAATAGATGGTTTACCGAACTGAAACATGGGTGGATTTTCCATGGCTATGTTAAATAACCAGATGGTAAGTGGTATATAACACAGCATTATGATATCATTACTGGTTGTTTGGAACATGACTGGATTGTGACTGTCCATTCAGTTGGGAATTTCATAACCCCAGCTGACGAACTCCATCATTTTTCAGGGGGTTTAAACCACCAACCAGTATAACATATCATCATATATCATTATATTTGTCATTATGTATGGTATATGCATGTAAATAAATATATATATATATGTAACCATAGTTGTAGTGTCTATCCTAATAATTATCTAGTTTTTTGTGGTTATATATAAGTAATCCTGTCCCACTCATATTAAACACCCCCTAAACGAAATCATGGTTTTGCTGCGGGAATTTCCACATAATTAGAATCATGCAATTGGGGTGTTATCCCATTTATAAGTGGGTTATAAGCCCATTTCCTAACCTCTTACTAACTATGATTATTCTCTAAGTGGGTTTCATCCCATCTATAAATGGATAACTATGGTTATTGATCAGCCATGATCAGCCCATTTAGTGAGTGGTTAGTTAGAACCATCCGCGAAGCATATTTTTGGCCTTCGCCAGGTGATGAAGAAATTGAATCACCCAAATATCATCCGCTGCCACGGCTACTTGGTCGGAATGGGTAGGTGGCGGGAATTGGAGGGCGAACTATGCCATTTTGTTTCGGCCCAACTTGGAAAAAGTGAGGGATATTAAAATATGATTAGTTTATTAACTATTCAGATGATGAACTTATGAACTTGAATTTATGTAGTTTCTTCAGATTTGTTAAGAACTGTGGTTTGCCTGCGGCTTCGTCAGTCTTCCGGGGTGAACTTGAATGGGGCGTGCCTTGTTCTATCACCGGAGAGCATTCCAAAAAGCAACTTCCATATCTGACAGTCTGATCAGTCAAAACCAGTGGTTTTAGGTAGGAAACCAGGTCCATGTAATGCTGCCGTTGCCGTTTTTTGCGTCTGAAAAACACTTTGGTCTTGGGACTTGGATGGACTTGGTCTGTATGGCTCAATGGCCAAGACACATATCTACAAGGTGGTGCTCCCAAGATAGCTAAGTTGGTTTATAACTCCAATAACTAGGACTTATGGTAGATATGGATACACCCACAGCTCCGAACTGCTCCCTCTTAAGCGGATCGATTATTGGACTTGTACAAGGTGGTGCCCCGCAAGTTTTGTTAGTGGGTTTATAATCCCATTAACTAGTTCGATATATCTACCATAAGTCCAAACGTGAAATTAGAGTTATGTTCACCAACTTAGCTATCGACCGGGGGCACCACCCTGTAGGCTACGTAAACCCAACTACATACCAGGTTCTGAGGGTACTTTGTGTGATGAATAAACCAATGCGTTTTCGAGAACAAAAAAAACGATATCAGCTATGTATAGCTATACATGAGTTTAAACTTTAAACCTACGCAATGTTGACATTGATCCGCCAAGCAATTTTATGCTGATAATCATAAAGTTATCATCCCATCCCCCCAAGTATCAAAAACACCCCAGAGAATCCATTTTTTTTGGGGTGGGATCCATCGTCTAACAACAGTTTTTGGCATGTATCCACACATGTTTTGGTGGCATTCTCTTAACTTAGCTGGAAAAATATCTTAGTATCTCGAATTGCCCTCTGGTTGTTGAACATAGCTATGAAAAATGCTTCGTTTATAGATTATTCATTATGATTTGTTTTTTTTTACCTAATTAGAAGGGTGATGAATCATGAATTATCATTTCTTTAGGGCAGTGAATTATCCCGAATTACCCTCTGGTAAACTAACATAACTATGGAGAATCGCCATGCTATTAATGGGTAAATCCACTATTTCGACTGGGCCATTTTCAATAGTTTTTTGTATGTTTACCAGAGGGTATATTCCATCAATCACCATTACTAACCATTACTGATAATCATTACTAACCATTACTGACAATCATTAACCATTATACATACATATTATATTCACCATTATTATTGATTTTTTCCAGTTACGTTCAATAACCAGAGGATCTCCAAGAGATACGGTCCTCTCCCAGGATATTTCTGGGATTTTCAGTCTCAATCTTTGCTCCTCGGCATGGATGAACGGTAAGATATTAGCTACTTAGATGGGCCATCGGATGAACGATTCCTGGTTAGTAACTGGGGATTTGTTACCCTCAAAAATCCCAATGAAATAATCCATGGCTACTAACTAGTTTTCAGTAACTCCATGGCCCATCTAAGTAGTGTTGTTAGCTAAGTTGGTTGAAAGAACTAGGTGTTTTGGTAATGATATGTAATGATTAGGTCTTTGGTTCATTTGTTTTAGTGAATCACTTGAAACGAGTTCATTAATCAGCCAACAGTTTCAGGTCCTTTAGTTTTGCCTAGAGGTTGCCACCACTGAAATGTTCCAGAAGACTGCTCCGTATGTTCCTCCAATTAGGCAAACTGTTGGGTTTATGGTGATGAAATAGCTATGTCGAAGTATAGTTTTCAAACTGTTATATCATGTTATATCTATAGGATCCTATAAGTTGTATTGTTGGCTTTGTGATTGTCATATCATGTAATATCTATAGTTAGATGTCGTTTTTCCACTATAAAGTTATATCTAAAATATATAGATAGATGTGTTTGGAATCTATAATAATCTATAGTTGGATCATAAATCTATGTTATATCATGTTAAGTCTATAGTTGAGTAATAACATGTGATAAAACAAGTATAACACATATAGTTACAAACTATGGCTAAAGCATCGTGCATTGCCGCGCCCATGGTTGCCATATGTTGCCATGGGGACGGCCTGATCGAGGTAGTTCAACATAGCTAACATAACTACAAGGTGGTGCCCCCGGTCGATAGCGTTTAGTTGGTGAACATAACTCTAATTTCACGTTTGGACTTAAGGTAGATATATCGAACTAGTTAATGGGATTATAAACCAACAAACATAACTTGGGGGGCACCACCTTGTAGGATTCACAGTGGATATACTCTATCCATATAGTTCACTGGTTTCAAAAACCAACAGCCCAATCACTTGGGGAGTACCACCAGCACCACCTTGTCGGGTAGAAGTACGAAAAAGCACCTTAAAAGCAGCGCCATCACGAGCTGGTTGGTGGTTTCAAACATTTTTTATTTTCCATAATAAATGGGATAATCCTTCCCATTGACTTTCATATTTTTCAAGATGGTTATTGCACCACCAACCAGCGAGGTATATTGTGTTGGAATATGCGAATCGCGGTGATTTGCACTCCGAACTGCAGATGCTTGGCTGCAGCCTTTCTGAATCTTGAGAACCAAGCCCAAATGCTCCACAAGGTGGTGCCCCCGGTCGATAGCTAAGTTGGTGAACATAACTCTAATTTCACGTTTGGACTTAAGGTAGATATATCGAACTAGTTAATGGGATTATAAACCAACTTATAACTTGGGGGGCACCACCTTGCATGTCTAAGTTAACCTTGGATGGTACTTTAATCCTTTAGTCTTTTGGTATCTGGCTGGGATTATCTACGTTCACCAGCTAAGAATTCAATTTTTTGCAGGGTATCTGGCTGATTGGCCATGATGTCTGGAATATGTTGCAACATTGACCCCCAACAAATGAGCCAGTGTATGGTAAAGATATAAAAAGGCACCATGCTTCGCATGGCATTCTGTCATGAAATGACCGTGCCGCGTGCGTTGTGCCTCTCAACTTTGGCTCCCCGGGAGCCATGAAGACCACTGGGGATTCCTCCATTTTTTTTGAGTTTTCTATGGATTTTCGCCATGAAAAATGCGCGATTTTTTTAAGAAACCTTGGTTTTACCCCGCGAAATCCCGTGTTTCATCATCCTGTTTCTACTGAAATCCCAATAATGTGGGTAAAGCATGGTAAACCATCAATAAACCATTCCCCACATCACCATAAATAGGTGGTATAAATCATTGCCAAATGGGTGGTTCATGACTTTTATCCACATTATATAATCCCATAAAACCAATATATATTTTTCGGCGTCGCTGATGATCACCTCCCCTTTTGGGCGTTTTTGGTGGCGGTGTGCCCTCCATGAAGCGTTCATCATGGGTGTGTCTTGTTAAGGGCCATAACTCAGCCATCAGTTAATACTGGTTAATCTATGGTTGATCTATGGTTATGGTAATTAATTGGAATAACAATACCCCGGTTAATTCATTGCTATAGGGGATTATACTACCTGGCTTACTGGGGATTATGATTTTTGCCCATAGTGGGAAACCGTTTTCAACCAACTAGTATAATGAGATGGGATAGGGGTATTTTTAATGGCTCAACTGTATCAATCGAAAGCATGGAAATTGGTGGGTAGAATGAAGTTGGCTCAGGGGATGCTGTCGTGAGATGCCCATCAGATGGTCATGACATGCAATGTGTGGCCCCCAAGATAGCGTTCAGTTGGTGAACATAACTCCAATTTCACTATGGTTTATGGTACGCAAATAACTATGCTTACTGGTGTTTATAACTATAGTAATAAAAGTTGGTGCAAACAACTATTTCCAATAACCATGGTAAATATAAGGACCTAGTCAAATGGTGTTTATAAACCAACGTTCACATCACTGGGTGCCCCCCACATTGTGATGATCGTAAAATTCTGGACGGGTGATTCTGCCACAAGATCCTCTGCGAATTCCTACACTTTGCGATGGAAAAGCACCATTTTTCCCCTGAAAGAGTGTGCTCACAAATACCCGGCAAACCAACGGTAGCTATTGAAAATTGCCATTTATAGTTGATTTCCCCATTTAAAAAAGTGATTTTCCATAGTTGCGTTCGTTTTCCAGGGGGTAATTCAGGGCTTCTTTGGGTGGTCAAAGAATCAAACATGCCTGGTAAATCTCCGTTTCGAACGGGCATGGACATGGGACACTCATGCAGGATGGGGCCTCCAGTCGATAGCGTTCAGTTGCCTGATTGAAATGTGTCTGAATTCTATCGTATATATCAGACATTGAACTATAGTTTTGAAAATACATATATATCCTATGAAAATACATATATCCTATGGTTTCAGTTGTGTATATGGTAGATATTAAACTATAGTTTTCATGGGATTTTTGTTAAGCAACGTTCACATCACTGGGGGACACCATCCTGTCCTGATTTCATGGTGAATTTTCCAGCCACGTTTGATGATGCCATGGTCCAAAGTTGAAATCTGAGCAATTGGGGTGTGGTCATCAGTCCATAGAAATTAAGGGATTGTATGATGTTATATGTATAGTAGGTGACTAGCAGATAGAATTTGTTTCTTAGGTTTTTGCCTCGCAAATATCTGCGAATTCTACAGTAAGTGCTAGAAAAAAAGCGGCTTAGAATTGTTTTATACATATATTATTATATATTATATATACAATGTGGGCCCCCCAAGATAGCGTTCAGTTGGCGAACATAGCTCCAATTTCACTATGGTTTATGGTACGCAAATAACTATACTTACTGGTGTTTGTAAGCCAACTTATAACTGGGGGGGCCACTTTGTGTATATATATATATATATATACCCATCATTTCAGGATTCACGTTTCACGTTTTGGAATGGATGACATTGGATTAATATACTGATTCACAGCCATTTACCATGTTTTGATCATAGCATATAAGTGACTTCCATTTTGAATATTGCATTGGCATCAGTTGCTGCAAACCCGCATTTCGTTGATTCAAGAACATTCCAGAATTTCAACGGGCAACTCTATCATCCTTGTTCCTATGAAATACTTATCGCAAAGAAGACCCGCAGCGCTGAAGTCATAAACAGCAGTCCATTGTCACAATCTGAACGCCCAACATGGCCACATGGCTGCGCACGACTACTACAGTGGGCCTTGGAGGTTCTCACGTGTTACTGACGGTGGCATTTCTGGGCGACAGAATTTCACAAACTGCTTGGCAACCAGGTAACATGCCCTTGCAACCAGACAGACACCTACTTTGACGCTTCAACTTTTTGGCTTATAATCCAGCTATTAAAATTCAGTCAGTTCATTCAAAGCCCCCTGGACGCAGAAAATTGGGTTCGGCTGCCCATCCTTCAATATGACCTCTGCCTAATGAGACCTCGAAAGTTTCCACTGCGTTTTGCGTTTTTGGCCCGCCATTTTTCATGATGCATTTAAGTTTTATTTTTTTTCCGTCCGAACTTGGATATTTTAGGCCGCTAAGCCAAAAAATAATTCCTTGGGATGCCCCACCAGTTTCTGATGACCCACTTCCTCGGCTGCACGGTCGCTGCCAGTCGCACTGAGGAGCCGCCGACGCCTGGGGAAACACTTCGGCGACGACGAGGTCTGGGACATCTTGGCGCAGGCGGCGGAGCATTGGCGGTGATGGCTCCACCCGTGAAGGGCCAATGGCGACCCATCTGGGGCCCCCAAGATAGCTAAGTTGGATAATAATTCCGATAGTTATGGTTTGTGGCGTTTATGGTACTTATAACTACGTATACTTACTGATGTTTATAAATTATAAACCCACAAACATAACCGGGTGGCCCCACAAACATATGTGGGGTCAACTCTAGACGGGGATTTTACCAGCCAAAAAAAACATTGAGTGATTCGATATTTTGTTTCTTGACCTATTCCCTGACTAGATGGGCCATGGAACGCGTTGACACTTCAAATTGTAGGTTCAGTTCTAACTTGCTATATCCAGTCATTTTGAGGCATAGACTTGTTGCAAAGCAAATTGACTCACAGAAACAGTGGTTATATGTATGGGTAATGTTGACCCCGGATTAATAAACCCCCCCCCCCATAGGTCAACTAGGTCAACAAGGTCCAGTGAGGAGGTCCAAAAACCGAACCCCCCAAATAATGTGACCATTCATTCATCCATAAACGATTATTATAAGATTCCTATGGGAAAAGATTGGAAAACAATGATAAACCATCAGATTCCTATAAGAAAAGATGAGAAAACTTATGATAAACCATCAGATTCCTATGAGAAAAGATGAGAAAATCTATGATAAACCATCAGATTCCTATGAGAAAAGATGAGAAAACCTATGATAAACCATCAGATTCCTATGAGAAAAGATGAGAAAACCTATGATAAACCATCAGATTCCTATGAGAAAAGATGAGAAAACCTATGATAAACCATCAGATTCCTATGAGAAAAGATGAGAAAACCTATGATAAACCATCAGATTCCTATGAGAAAAGATGAGAAAACGTATGATAAACCATCAGATTCCTATGAGAAAAGATGAGAAAACCTGTGATAAACTATCAGATTCCTATGAGAAAAGATGAGAAAACTATATAAATACATCAGATATCTTATGAGAAAAGATGAGAAAACGTATGATAAACCATCAGATTCCTATGAGAAAAGATGAGAAAATCTATGTAAACCATCAGATTCCTTGAGAAAAGATGAGAAAATCTATCGATAAACCATCAGATTCCTATGAGAAAAGATGAGAAAACGCATGGTAAACCATCAGATTCCTATGAGAAAAGATGAGAAAACCTATGGTAAACCATCAGATTCCTATGAGAAAAGATGAGAAAACTATGGTAAACCATCAGATTCCTATGAGAAAAGATAAGAAAACCTATGGTAAACCATCAGATTCCTATGAGAAAAGATGAGAAAACCTATGGTAAACCATCAGATTCCTATGAGAAAAGATGAGAAAACCTATGGTAAACCATCAGATTCCTATGAGAAAAGATGAGAAAACTTATAAGATACAATCAGATATCCTATGAGAAAAGATGAGAAAACTTATAAGATACCATCAGATTCCTATGAGAAAAGATGAGAAAACGTATGATAAACCATCAGATTCCTATGAGAAAAGATGAGAAAACCTGTGATAAACTATCAGATTCCTATGAGAAAAGATGAGAAAATCTTTGATAAACCATCAGATTCCTATGAGAAAAGATGAGAAAACCTATGATAAACCATCAGATTCCTATGAGAAAAGATGAGAAAACGTATGATAAACCATCAGATTCCTATGAGAAAAGATGAGAAAACCTATGGTAAACCATCAGATTCCTATGAGAAAAGATGAGAAAACTTATGATAAACCATCAGATTCCTATGAGAAAAGATGAGAAAATCTATGATAAACCATCAGATTCCTATGAGAAAAGATGAGAAAACCCTATGATAAACCATCAGATTCCTATGAGAAAAGATGAGAAAATCTATGATAAACCATGAAATTCCTATGAGAAAAGATGAGAAAACCTATGGTAGACCATCAGATTCCTATGAGAAAAGATGAGAAAACCTATGGTAAACCATCAGATTCCTATGCGGGAACGTGAGGAAACCACGCAAAAACCATCAGATTCCTATGGGAAAAGGTTAGACAACTAGTGGAAAACTATCAGGTTCCTATGGAGAAAAAAGAAAACCCTTGGTAAACCATAAGGTTCCTATGGAGAAAGAATAGAAATTAAATGGCAAACCATCAGAGTCCCATGAGGGAATGACAGAGAGTCAGTCACCTCTTCCCAACATGATGAGCCAACCCAAAAAACCTCTGAAACCAATGTGTTTGGCAATAGCGCGGCTTCGACCTAATGAAAGCACAGCTCTTGCAATGAAAGAGAGTCACCTCTTCCCAACATGATGAGCCAACCCACAAAAAACCTCTGAAACCAGTGTGTTTGGCAATAGTGCGGCTTCGACCTACTGAAAGCGCAGCTCTTGCAATGAAAGAGAGTCACCTCTTCCCAACATGATGAGCCAACCCACAAAAAAACCTCTGAAACCAGTGTGTTTGGCAATAGCGTGGCTTCGACCTAATGAAAGCACAGTTCTTGCAATGAAAGAAAGGCACCTCTTCCCAACATGATGAGCCAACCCACAAAAACCTCTGAAACCAGTGTGTTTGGCATTAGCGCGGCTTCGACCTAATGAAAGCACAGCTCTTGC